TCTTGGGTTTTTTTCCACTAGCAGATCAGTCCATGTTTCAAGAGATCTGTTTCCTTCTTCGTCTGTGCATTTGTCCGTCAGGAGTTGAAATTGGTTTTTCAACTCCAGTTGAAATTCTGTTCTCTTCTCTTTTAGTTTCTCTAGGTTGATGCTACTTTGTTTTGGTTTTAGGAGTTTTTGCCTCTCTAGTCGGGTGTTGATCTTCATCTTGCCCATTACCATCCTGTGGTCACTTCCCACGTTCACCTTATTTATTGTTTTCACGTCTTGGATGATGTGAGGATTATCAGTTAATATGAAGTCAATTTCATTCTTTGTGTTTCCGCCTGGGCTTTTCCATGTCCATTTCCTGGATGCTCCTTTTTTTAAAGAAAGTGTTCATTATTTTCATTTTGTTGCTAATGGAAAATTCAAGAAGTCGGTCACCCCTGTCGTTTCTTTGTCCACTTCCGGAGGGGCCGATTGGGCTTTCTTCTCCTTCCTCTCTTTTCCCGACCTTGGCATTAAAGTCACCCATGACTATTGTAAACTGTGTTTTACTGCCTTTCATCACGTCCGTTATTTCATCGTAGAGTTTCTCTACCTCTTCATCGTCGTGTGTTGAAGTTGGAGCATAGACTGATTGATTTTTATTGTTATTTGTGCCAGACGTTCATTTATTCCTTTTATTTCAGAAATGTTACCGGCGATGCTTTTGTGTACCAGGAATCCTACTCCTGCTTCACTCTTATTCTTCTTTCCTATATGGTAGAAATGGTGCCCGCTTTTCAGTACTGTGAGTTCTTCTCCTCGTCTGCGGACTTCACCCAGTCCGACAATATCCCACTTTATTCCTTGTAGTTCTTCCTCGAGTTCCAGTAGTCTCTCTTCTTGAAGTAGTGATCTTACGTTATAGGTTGCAATGTTCAGTTTCCATTGGTGGCCTGTCCGAACCCAGGGATTCTTAGCACCCCCTGCTCCTTGCTTTATCGGGCCGCCACCTTGGTCCGGAACAAATGAGCTGCTGGGGACTGGGGGCCTTTGCTTATTTGTGTCTGTCATGCTGGTTTGTGTGGGCCTACCCATCCACGCTGGCCCAGTGCGGGTTGAATGGGGGATTTTACATCAGAGCTCCGACTCTTAGGTTGATGGCCTTACTGGGCTACGAAGTCAACCTCTCCGCCTATTTTCCCATAGGTGGGGCTATTTAACCCATAGATGGAGCTTGGTTAATGGGCGCCAGGGCATGTCCACACACCGGTGGGCCTGCACGCCGCATCTCTGGGGCCCAAGGCTACTCCGAGATCCCTTACAGTTTTGCCTGGGACCGTGAGGTACCCAGTTACCGTGTGTTGCCGCGAGGAGGCACTGTAAGAGTCTTGATGGAGGAGAGGCTATGTACTGGCAGGGGGAGGCTTACGCACTCGGCTCCCTTTTTCACCTTGCGGTTAGCCAGCGGCAGCAGCTGAAAGCAGAAATTGCAAGCACTATGCTAAAACTACACTATGCTAATCTATTTCTACACACTACTGCACTAGACGCTCCACTACATCCTGTGTCTACTGACACTAACACACTAATACACCTTTAGTTTGCACTGATTTCCTTTTATGAATATAAAACATTTCCAGTCTTTACTTTTATCAATACCTTCTAGGGTATATTAATTGTTTGAATATACCTGTTTTATAATCGATACATGATATAAATTATTAGAAAAAAAGGGCTTATAATTGTTGTTTTTTATTTTGTAACTTCCTCTTTTCATTTCCTAGGAAGCCTAATTTTGGCCGATCAATGTATACATAAACAGATAAATACGTACATAAACAGAAATCTCTTTTTTTTTTTTAAAGGGCATATCAATGTTTTTGATACAAGGGACTATTATTAATATATACAAAAGCGATGACGGAACAAATTATAGGTCTTTCCGTAGAGCAGAGATCAACTTCAATATAATTTTGGACATTTTTATATATTTCACTTCGGGTACACCTAATAACAATTGTGGGAATAACGAAGCCTCTGAATGAGCTTCAATGAGCTTCAACCTGAAATGTACTCAGTGTATATGGTTAGTGGTGACGTATGTACTCCAGGCCCCATCGTAGGCAAAAGGGGGGAAAAGGGAAACAAAAATGGGGAAATGAAGGAGAGGGGACTGATGGATCGTGGATGGAAGACGATACTAACACCTCCCACACGGGGCCAGGTAAAAGTAGCAGAGGTAAAAATGCGGAATTTTTTACCTTTGGCATTTCTACCTCTTATATTTATACTTGTGGCATTTTTACCTGTAACATTATTACTTCTGGCAGTAGCTCCCTTTAACATTTCAATATCTGACATGTTTATCTCTAAAACTTTTACTTCTGGTGTTTTTACCTCTGACATTTTTACATCGAACCTTCCCACACATTCTTCATTTTCTTTCTATTTGTCAATATAAATGCCATGCATCGTACAAGACTGCGAGCCCTCCACCCCCCCCCCCCCCTTCCTCAATCATAATTTCTGATTATGTGAAACAAACATTGGATACTTCAAAGTACTCACACCCACTCCAATTTTGTTGCGTTGTAAAATATCTTTATGTACACTCCCGAATGTTGTGGTCTGTATCCATTAAGTGCTGAGCTGTATATATATTTATATAACACGTGGAATATTTTCACAGTAGATACATTATGTACAAAGAAAATTGTGCAAAAAAGAGAAGAATAGAGAATATCAAAACAGTAGAGCCATACGGTGACATTTTACTGTCTAAACAATATTGACATAACCTTAGCACAGTTACTGTGAACTAGATATTAGAACATACCCTTTACATTTATAATCAACACAAACATACACGCCCGCATACACACACGCACACACACGCGCGCGCAGACACACACACATACGCACAGGCCAAGATAATAGTATACCCTGATGCCGATGAAGTTGTAATTGTGACATTATTTTTGTTTTCTTGACAGATAAAGCTTGTTTATATTCTCATAACTTTTTTGATGAATCTCTATGACCCTTTAGATTGGAAAATATAGTTCGAAAAAGACATAAACTTAATCGTTCAAAAATAGATAAAATGTAACAATTATTTTATGAAAATAGGTAAGCAAATAATATTCCAATTTTGGGGGAATAGAGCACGTACCTATGGGGTCAGGCCAGCTCAACAATCGATCAGACATAGTATTGCGAGGCTATTTGGTTTTAATGAAGGGTTAAAGTATACTATAAAAGGAATAGTTATTATATTATAATACTGCATCGCAGCCAGGGGCTGAATTGTACAATAATTTTACAAAAGTATCTACATAATAAGAAATACATTAAAGGTATTACAAAGTTTTGGTATGGGGTCATGAATTTGGTTCAAATGAACATATTGGAAGCATATACTATCCTACAATATTCAGAGATCGTTGTCGCGGTTGAAATCGAGTCTAAAGTTATGAAATTGTAAATAACTAAAGTTTTATGTTGTATAGCTACCTCTCAAGGTCAATATATTAATTAAGCTATAAATAATGTTTATTGACTAAAATCGACCGATTAGCTATTCCGGTTTGGAAATTATATATCACAACTACATATTCTAAAATTTTCATGGTCGCAGTTACCATTGTATGGCCGTAGGCGCTATTAGAAATTCATCAAAATTTACCGGGAGCACCGTTAAATTTTTATATTCAATTTTTCTCGAAAACAGAAATGTTTTAGGGGCTTAATTTTATAGTGCTTATAATACATCCACATGGGCATCCAAATATATCAAAATTGTAAAGAATCACCATCCACCCAATTCAAAATTCCCCCAAACTTTGTATTACCTTTAAGCAGGAACATACAAATACGAGTAAACAATCTTTATGCGACTGGAAATTACTCAAAATTGTGATAATTGTGTGTCTACTAGTGAAAGAGAAGTATATGTTTTTAAAGGTAAAGACCAGTATTGGAAACGCCCCAATTTCAAAAAATGAAATGGAAGCTCTCATTACCAATCATGTGAAAGAATATGTTTTGACTAATACATGATGATAACAAATTTGCCGGGAAACTGCCTACTAATTCGTATATTTGGTAAATTTGTTTCTCTCATGGTCTGTGAGAGATATAGGGTAGTCCCATATACATCTTTCTGTGTATAGTGCTTGTAACTTTACGAAGACTGGGCCAAATTTCTTATCATTTTGATGATTCAAGAACCTTGCAGATGCTAGATGCTGGATGATCAACCTTTTCTGATCGATTCCACAACGTTTCTTTCACAATGCAATCGCATGACCATAACTGGTCTTTACCTTTAATGTATAGATGAAGGTTTCGAAATAGTATTGTGTGATGTAAATGATACCTAAAAGGGAAGAGTGAGCCATATTAAAGTAAGCTCCATGTTTTGAAAAGGCAGGTGAAGGGGAGAGGGTGAGAAAGAGGACTAAGAGTGCAAAAGATGGAAAGAAGAGGAGAATAGTGGAGAGAGATAAATATGGATTGACAGACGGAGGGGAGAAGGGAAACAAAGGAAAATATAGAGAGAGAGAGAGAGAGAGAGAGAGAGAGAGAGAGAGAGAGAAGAGAGAGAGAGGGGTGATGAAAAGAAAGAAGAAAGGGGGTAGGAGGTCATCCACATATACAATACTATGAAATAACACAAAGATTGGCAAACGTTGCAAGGTAATTAGAAATAAATTTCACACAGTAAAAACAAAAGATTTGCTGTTGAATGTATGAGATCAGTTGTTATACTAGGGCCTCTTGATATTCACAAATTTCATGTTTTCTAAAATAGCTGCACATCCAGACATTGTCAATTAAACTTCTTTAACTATTTTACAAATTCTACTTATTGATATTAAAAAAAAAGGAAAATCTTTCAAAATGACGTAAACTCAACGCAAAATATTTTTTTAAAGTATTTGCGATAGCCTAATTCCGCACTCTTGGCTAAATCTAACACAAGTTAGTCCTTTTAATTTCCCTACAACGTCCCTATATAGTCCAATTAGTTGGCTCGGTTCCAGTCATCATACAGCGAAAAAGGTGAAGATGCATTGTAGTACCGCTGTATATCCGACCTAGGCTTAATCTCACATGTCCAGTGTAGACACAAACAATCCTTCATCTAAGTCATTGAGAGACAGGTAAATCTGTGAAATTCAAAATGATAATACTATTAATATGAAAATGATAATAATAACAATTGCAATGTTACACCATATCACAGGCACTGATAGCACGTAGGACCATGTATCTCAGACTAAACATTAAACGATGCCTATAAAACTAAAGTAGTATTTTGGCCCTGGCTTTAGATCTGAAAGCATTTCTTCCCGGCATCATTCTGACGCTCACATTGCAATTTTAATGTTGACAAATAAAAAAGGAATTGTCAATATGAGACGTTTATTGCCTCCTTCTTAATTCTATGGAAAAATTGAAAATAAGAAAAATTATGATTATATATGAATACAAAAAAACTTAAATATACATGAAAAGGCATCGGAAGGATATGGGAGATAAATAAATTAAAAAACATAGATAACCATTAAAAAAGGAAAAGAAGTTTCAAGATCATTATTAAGTCAGGGTTTTTCATGATACCTGTTCAACTGAGGTTAATATACCGACGGGATTATATAAATAAATATAACATGGGGAAAAAAAATTCTGCATTGGACATATAAAAAGAATGCAGTTGAGTTCATCTTACGTGATTCTTTTTCTAGAATCCTCTCCAAACTCGTGAGGGTCTGATCAAAGTTACTCCGATTCGTAGGTTCCTTCTCCCAACAACCAGACATGACCGTATACCTGAAAGATAAGAAGAAGTTGATACTTATCTAAAAGAAGTGCTAAACGTTTTATTTTCAGGTTCCCATATAGAGTCAAAGGAGAGATTTTTCGTGTAACTTACCTTAGATATATATCGGTGGGAAATATAATCCGCATCTGATGATCAACATCATCATTAAATCTATCCATTATTATATATATATATAACAATCATCGTCATGTACATGTATGTCAAGTCTTGATATGGTAGACATTGAATCGAAAATAAATTCTTTGTACTTATCTTTGATGAGCAAATTATTGGATGAACAAATTTTGCAGATGAAAATCATTACTAAATATTTGATCGAAATGATAGGAAATTTTCCAGATATCTTTAGATATTTAAATATTTAGAAAAATATGAATATGTTAAGTAAACAAAATAGACTGCCAGAGTTTTATCAAAATCTTCGTAATGCATGGTACAATTTTTAATATCGAGGTTTGGTTGAGTTAATAGAAATAAAAGAGGAGATATCATGGAAAAATAGTCATATCACCATGGGTGTCGATCCGTAACTGATACCTATTCATCAGGGGGATGATCTATTCATTCATCCCCCCCCCCCTGATGAATAGGTATTACGTAAGGATCGACACCCATGCATATCACATCAACAATTCGACATTATTGTTCTCAATGTGGTACGTAACATGAATGTGTAAAGTGAAGCACGTGATTATAAATGTAAGTTGGAAAGATTCGATTCTGTTGAATAGTAAAGTTGGTATTCATCAATTATTATTTTAGTTCGAATACGCGAAATTTAAGAAATGTTTTCCAAGCCATAAGTTAAATGTATACTGAAATTGGATATGAGTAGCTACACGAGATTCGTTAAACTACAGTATTCAGTTTGAAGGCGAAACATTATTACTTATCCCTCCTGAAAAAAAACTTAAAAAACCTATTGTAACACGTCACTGGGTAAATTATTTGAATATACCTTTTTCATTTACTTGGCAGAAAGTCTTAAATTGTCAATTTCAACAAAAATAATATATCAAGTTTTTTTTAAGTATTGCTTTATATCTTTCCATCAAATCATAATCTATGCACATGGCGTATAATGGACAATGACCAGTTTGATGTATGTAAAGAAACATAAACCAATTTTATTATTTTTTTTAAATATAATAAGGTTCGAGTTTTTTGGAAAAAAATGGAAAGTTGTTTAATAATCACTTTCATGAGAAAATAGATATTATAACAAAATTAAAAATTATATTGAAGAAAAGGGAAACATGATAAACTTCATGTTAAATTTAGGCCATTACGTAATAAACATAATATATATCAACATTCTCTATGATGGTAAAGAGTATAATAGTAATATTAACATTCTGTTTCTTTATTCATTAAAAAAAAATGCAATATCATATAGCAAATAAGCAAAGCGTTTTATTGACGAAATACAATGAAATTATTCAAGAAATAGTAAGGTTATAACCATTCATTCATTCATTTCCCTTTGTTATTTATCTTGTGTTTAAAATGTAAATTTATGTAAATATATATGATGATCAGTATGTGATGATCAGTATAGTCTCCAGTTATCCATTTAAGCCTAAAAGCCTAGACAAAGTAAAGCCTAAAAACATGATACTTTACACTTCTTGTGCACAATGACGAGGGCGTGGCATCTGGTAACCATTGTCAACCTCCGTTTGAACAGCGTCAAAGGTCATATTAGGGTACGGCCTCGCACCTTAAATAATCAAAAAAAATAACAAGTAAAACATTTAATCCAATATATGAATATGGGGCATCTGGAGGTCTTGGGAGGAATTAGATTTAACCACATATATAATTTTCTATCAAACTTTGATAGTACACGCAGAACTAGTGGGAAAACGTTAGACCTAATGTTATTAACATCTGTGACATGTATTGTGATAGGAACAATACAATGAATCTAAAATCGCACTTATTATCGGTGGGTCTTATAAAATGTAGAAAAGGTAACTTGCATTCTCTGTCCTTAACGTACGCCAAACAAATATCAATAATTTTCTATTTGATTACTAAATTCCAATGATATATGTTACTTTAGTTACTAACATCATATGAACCACTTAAAGTGAAGGAAACGTTGTATAGTGGTTCATTCTTTTGACTTTCATTTCAAGGGTTTCGAATTCCAGCCTGGCACTAACGTCCTTCGGTAAGACGTAAATCCATAGTTGCCACTCTCTACCCATTCCACCCACCTGGCTATTATATTGCTAGGGTAATATTAATGAAAAGGCCATGAGGATGAACAGCTGTACAACTGATAAGGCTTCCTATGGTTACCAAATATTATCACTATTATTATTATCATTATTATTATTATTATTATTTATCATCAATTTAATCTTTATTATATGATAATATCAGGGTCTTTAGGATGGAACGAAAAATTTGTTGTGATATTATTTTTCTTTTTTTACCCAATGTCACAATTTCCCACAAGACGATACCAAAAGACCAGATATCTCCATTTATCATCAATTTAATCTGTATTATATGATAATATCAGGGTCTTTAGGATGAAACGAAAAATTTGTTGTGATATTATTTTTCTTTTTTTACCCAATGTTACAATTTCCCACAAGACGATACCAAAAGACCAGATATCTCCATATGTTGATTGGTCACCAGTACCCATGGATTCAGGCGAACTCCATCTTGTTGGTTTCTTAAAAGTTGGAAAATACAAAGAAGGTTGAAAATCATCTTAACGTTAAGTTTCTGAGAATTACAGTTTTTCTTTTCATTTCTTTAAATAATTTAATATCATTTATTCATGGTTTAACACAAAATCATGATTAGCAGGCTGAATTGTTCACAAGTATACATAATATACAATATAGCAAATGGCAAAACTATACAAATACCACTGTCGATAAAGTAAGTACAGTACAGGTTATATATATATATATAAATATATATATATATACTATTGTGTTTGAATAATTTAAGGGAAAACAATAACAAACGTGAAAAATCATAAAACATAATTCCATGGGTCGCGTTTTCCTAGTTTCAATTATGTTTCGATATTTTTTTCTATACTGACAATATATCATTGAATATAAGCGATAATACTTACACCTTTGTCGCTAAACAATGATGAAGATAGTCCATAATCTGATAACTTGCATTGCCTTCCATCAGCTAGTAACACATTGTGAGCACAGAGAGTTCCATGGATGATCTTAAAGGTAATACAAAGTTTTGGTATAGGGTCATGAATTTGGTTCAAATAAGCATATTGGAAGCATATGCGTTCCTACAATATTCATTGATCGTTGTCCCGGTTGAAATCGAGTCTAAAGTTATGAAATTATAAATAATAAACTCTTTATGTTGTATAGCTCCCTCTTAAGGTCAAGATATCAATTTAGCTATGAAACAATGTTTCTTGACTAAAATCGACCGATTAGCTATTCCCGTTTGGAAATTATATATCACAACTACATATTCTGAGATTTTCATGGTCGCAGCTACCATTGTACGGCCGTAAGCGCTATTTGAAATTTACCAAAATTTACCGGGAGCACCGGTAAATTTTTATATTCAATTTTTCTCGAAAACAGGAGTGTTTTTTAGGTTAATTGTTTTAGTGCTTATAATACATCCACGGGGGCATCCAATTATATCAAAATTGTAAAGATTCATTATCCACCCAATTTTCTAAATTTCCCAAAACTTTGTATTACCTTTAAGAGTTTAAGAAAAAAACGATAATAAAAATATTAAACAGTAACAATAAACAAATTAATAAAAAAACATTATACAATAATTCATTTGTGGAGTAAGCTTCAGCTCATTTTCACCATTCTCATTATGAATTTCATTTACGACTCTCGCATCGTTCCTCGTGTTTTATCACCTTTTCCTCGGCCTCAACGTACATGCTCACAACCACCCCCTACGCATTGTCTCCTTTTTTCGGCTTCTCAATTATTCCTCATTATCTCCTCCTTTAAAAAAAGAATACCCCCCTCTCCTCTTGAAATAATTTTACCTTCTTAGATCCAAGAAATTGCATCCCTTTTGCAATTTGCCAAGCCAAGTTGAGTAGACTACCTTCATCGAGACGAACCCCCTTTGGTTTGAGATTGCCGTATGTGGGTTGGGACTCCACCCCCGTTGTCTGTAGATGGGTGAGTAGGGTACCCCCAGAGATGAACTCATACAGAATGCTACCTGCATCAAGGGCAATTCGTTCAATTGAAGAAAAAAATGTATGAAAAACACGATAGCACCTACTTCCTGGAAAAAAAAATCAATCTATCGCCTTTTTAATCGCCATGTGCGACCCCTATGTGGGAACATGGCAATGTCTTATTACGAAATCCGAACATGATTTAACAGGATGTACAAAGGCTATTGTGATGGTGTTGAAATTCAGCTGTTACATTGTGTTTCATCAAAAATCTCGTTTTATTAAAAGAAAAACATTAACTATCCAATAGAGTGGAATGGTCTTCAAAGACCTTGAAGTTCTTGTTTTACTGATTAAATCGTTCCTTGTTCGTCAGGCGCGGAGCAGACACAAAAATGTTTCATACCCTTACCTATACCGAATTTATTAGATAAAATTCTCATATTCACATTAAAGGAATCTGGTAACTTTGTCTCAGATCCTGAAACAAAATCCTGGATTAAGCTCATGCTGCAATAATAATTATAAACCTTTAGGTCAGTCAGGAACCCCATGACTTTTACAAGCCGATCGCCTGTCTGATTATCAAGATATATATGATTGGAAAACGAAACCAAATTCCGCTTGTTCCTAACGGTTTTCATAACACTACAGTCTATTGGGGAAAACGAGTATGGTAAAACCGGTCACTCAAAGACTTTTAATTTTGTGAGGCACTTCTTGATCATTTTGAATGGCGATTTTCTTTTTTTTTTTTCGGGGGGGGGGGGGGGCTTCAATATTACAACATATCACAGACATTGATAACACGTAGGGCAGTGCATTCCAGATTTAGCATTGTTAAATGATGCCTTTAATAAGTATGATATTTGGCAGACTATGGACAGCTTTTTTTACCGGAGGAGGTTTTTACCTTGTTCTTGACAATATCCCAGGCACGTGACAACATTTGGCTGATCCGCTAGCTCAGAAAGTACACTGACAGCTTCAAGAACGTTGCTTGATTTGGTCACTTGATCTAAGAGAACATAATAAATGGCTTACTTTACAAGCGATGTGTTATTAGTGATTATTAATGATAAATACAACGTTTCATGAAGTTCAAGTTATTTTAGGCTACATTGATATTCATGAAAGCGATTTTCCCTTTCGGTCTTTTTAAGGAGTGGTTGGCAAAACCTCACCTGGAATCTGCCTGATAGCAACGTCTACTTGACTTTGATTCGAGCGGAGTTCTCCCTTCCATACCTCGCCGAAATCACCCCGTCCGATTGAACCGAGTCTAGTGAAAAACGTCACGTTTCCAGGAGCAATGATGGGGGAGTAGGATGGACCGAGTTTGAGGGCTGTGTATGCTATAAAATAAAAACAAAAACAAAATATTATCACAAGGATTCTATTATTTAAAAGATAAAATGCAAGCAATCTTTTACACTCTAAAAAAGGGTTAAAGCTACCCTCGGACGATCATTCTACATTTCTTTTGAAATATAAAACGAACGTGAAAGAGTATTCACCAGAAACTAATCATTGAGTGTGTGTATGCGTGTGTGTACGGGAAGGGATGTGAATTCGCAATTTAAAAAAAGTGGCTATTATCAGAGGTAAGATTTTAAACCTCTGTTGAGTAGTAGGCCAAGCATGAATATGATCGGGGAGAATGATTAAGCTTATGTTTTCTTCGGTAAATATACTACTAATTTAATCAATTGATACAAAGTATGCACTTGATAGTTACGACATATTGTCAGTTTGGGCCCGCCCCCCCCCCTCCCCCTACTCCGGGAACGAAGGGATATCAAGCGTGTTACCAAAATGTCCAAAAAAGGGGTACTTTTCGCGCACCAAAGTCCGGCACGTAGTACACAGAAATCCGGCCCGTATTGACTTTACACACTGGACTTTGGGGGGCTTTTCAAATGGAGGGAGCAAGCATATGCGTACCCTAATTGGGGGGGGGGGGGGGGGAGTTTGGGGCGACATGATTATCATTTAGTATTTGTATAACTATGAGACATTTATTTGGCCACGTACAAAGTCATAAATATCTCCACTACTTATGTTGTGAATAAATTTTCCAACGCAAACATTTGACTGATTTCACACATTTTCTCACCGCTATCTCCGGTCTGAATCATCTCATATGCCATGTTCTCATTCGCCTCATGGGATACGCATCTTTTTTCTCTGACAAAAAAACAAATGTTATTTCTTATAAGGCATTTAAATCAATACTAACATGTTCAACTTTCTGCCCTAGTAGCGTACTGTTTATTGTACAGCGCCATCTCATAGCCATCTCACAGAGCTAATTTCCAAATACTTGTATTAGAAAAGGGATGCTCATTTTTGGTGTGATAATAAATACCGAATCATTTTCGTTTTCCGCATTACGAAACATGTCTTCATTCTGCATTCAAATTAACTTCTTTTTAATCCCCTTGAAGACGAGAGTTTCATATGAATACAAGCTCGAGTTTCACTTTACTTTTAAACATATTTAACATGATTGTAAACACATGATAAATTGTGGGCGCATATGTTTGTGTAATCGATATATATATATATATATATATATATATATATATAAATTCTGTTCAATATTCCAAACTGCTTAATACTAACCTAGGAACAGGTTTCTTTGATGCTTCAAAACCTGCAAAAAGAAAAAACAAAAAGAAGAATCCAATATAGAAATGTTGATATATCTTCTGCGCACAGAAAAAAGGTATATGACACATTTATCAACATGGAAACTAACTTTAGTCCGTAGTAAATGAGCACTATCCTGAGGTATTGACATGGTACATGTATTGGTAAGTACTTTCGAGAAAGCGATACGAATTATGATATGCAAAAAAAAATACCTTCGCTATCAATTTTCAGTAATATGTTTCCCTAATCTGCTAAGGCAATTATTAAGTCAATGACAATTAAATACATACATTTTAAACACTAACACGAATCGGTTTTTCATGATAGGCCATTAACTTGTAACATATTAGTTTCGTCAGCTTGATTAGGATATCCTGATAAGGATTACTTTATCTTTGATAATTAAATATTTTATGCATGTTACCAAAAAAAATAAATTACTTTACAGAATGACATATATATAGTCCAATCAAATTTAAATAGTTCCATTCATTTTCATAAGACATAATGCAGTCGCTAGGGATATTACAAAACTAATTTTAGTTCAATGACATTCTGTGGATATATAAAAAAGCTACTATTCCTATGATTTTTATAATAAATGAATATCTGCATTCATTTATAGAAAGCTAAGTGAATCAGTGATACAATTACAAGAATACAAATTATTTACACGCAAATCTGATGAGTAAAATTGTTGATATGTATTTTTTTTAATAGAACGAACCAATATGAGGTATATAATTGAAGGATACTTTCATTTGTAAACTGTTTAAATAGACTATTCTAATACCAAATCATAGTTACCAATTTCCGCCAGTTTTTCTTGGAAAGTAACTTTGCGATTAATATATGTATGTTTTGTAGAATTTACTTTTACACATAGTTCGAGGGCTGTAAATGGACAAAAGAAGAAAGAATACACCATTTAAACCCTTCCCAAAACCACCCCTTTTAAATGGATATATTTTCATATCATAAGGAAATTATGTCAACTTGATTATTAGTTATAGTAATTGTTATATGGGAGGTGGGATCGGGTTGAAACACAATACTTTTCAGGGTGGGGTTGGGGTAGTTCAGTTAACCTGATATTGTTTCTTGTCTTCTCCACACAATGAATTGAATGACGTTGGTGATGATAGACACAGCTAACAGGATGGCTAAGACTGCGATGCCTACAGCAGATCCAGAACAGTTACACGGTACACGGGATGGCTCTGTTACAATTAGAAATATCAAGTAAATATCATTCATAAGAATACTATCTATGTGTTTGAAATAATGCAAGATTATTCAGGACAGACATAAAACGAACCCTAACTGCCCCTTGATTAAATACAAGAAAAAGCATAGGTTCCGTTTACTATTAAGACTACTACTGTTTTTAATACTTTTCGACTGTTTCTTCTACTACTAATACCACTAATCCTACTATTACTACTGGAACTATTACTACTACTACTGCCTGCTCCTTTTTGTTTCCAGAATTGTAATGTATTAAGTGAATTGTTTCACAATAAGTTTGCCAATTTATTAGAGAAGTATTAGTTTGACGTCTTTATATTGCTTTCTTGAAATACATTACGTGAACATGAACAATTTTAGATCAAAACCATACATTTAAATTACTTCTTGCATGTTAATTCCTTATTATTCCATTAACCTAGGAAAGGATTGAAAGAAGCAGGATAATATTGTTTGTTTAATGTTATTTATCAACTGAGATCATAACAAGATTCCAATAATTACATAAATACTCTTGGTGTACAAAACTCGAGAGGATATATAGATCTCGAATGTAAATAATTTATTCACCTTCTGGCGTCTCTAGAGTAGTTCCTTCAGTCGTGAAAGATCCCGCTGTAGATAGAAGATAAATAAAAAGTATAGGTAATCAGATTGGTGTAAATATTATATAGATATGACATAGCTGGTATTATTAAATGACAAGGGTCAATGAGCATGATAATTGTATTTAGTTTTTATCTTCAAACTATTGTTATCATTATCATTATCAAAATTGTTATCATCATCATTATAATAATTGATATAAATATTATCAATATTGTTGTCATTGTTATTATTAATTTATTCATTATTATTATTATGGTCGCTAGTTACTATTACTTCTTCTTCTACTACTACTACTACTACTTCTATTAATGATAATAAAAAATTCCCCTACTACCATCACTAACACTACTAATGATAATGATAATACCACTATTACCACCTCTACTACTACCAATTATAATAATACTACCTCTACTCCCAATAAGACTACTACGTGTGTTACTACTATTTAGACTATTTATACTATTACTACTACTACTACTACTACTACTACTACTACAACTACTAATCCTACTACTTCTATTACTACTACAACTACTACTACTACTACTACTACTACTACTACTACTTCTTCTTCTTCTTCTACTTCTACTACTTTTCCTATTATAATCAAAGAAAGAAAATCCTAGTTATTTTGGATTATGTGGTACTTTCCGAGTACTAGGTGTAGATCGTCCTGAGGTAATGAGGGGTAATCCTTTGTTTATTTCAGTTATAAATCAGATAAATTCAGGTCATTATTTAAAATAAACATGATACCACCCCCTTCCCTTTATCAAGATACAAATTGCTACTTGCTTGCCCAAAGATAGACCCTGAAAAGCCAATTGATACAAAGTACAAGTTACAAGTTAAAAATAAAGACCACTTATGGTCATGCGATTGCATTGTGAACGAAACGTTGTGGAATCGATCAGAAAAGGTTGATCATCTAGCATATAAGTATTGGTGTGTACTGCAAGGTTCTGGAATTATCAAAATGATAAGAAATTTGGCCCAGTCTTCGTAAAGTTACAAGCACTGTACACAGAAAGATGTACATGGGACTACGCACACGTGCGCAAGACGTGCGTTTATCTCTCACAGGCCAATAGATAAACTAATTTACCAAATATATCAATTAGTAGGCGGTTTCCCGGCAAAATTGTTATCATCACGTACTAGTCAAAACATATTCTTTCACATGATTGGTAATAAGAGCTTCCATTTTATTTTTTGAATTTGGGGCGTTTCAATTACCGGTCTTTACCTTTAAATATATCTTTGCAAATACGTACGATATGAAAAGACATACATTGAATTCCAGTGGCGCTTGATACAAAAGTTTATTTAGCTCTTTAAATGACTTTTTGTTTCCAGAATTGTGATACGTTAGGGATCTTGTCTCATCTTGTTTTACAAAATTGCTAAATCAGTTTTCAAAGTTATTAGAGCAGTAATCGTTTAATAACTGTCATATTGCAGTCTTGAAATGCATTGCGCGAACAAGACATCACGAAACCAATACAATTTAACAATTAGAACCATGAATTTGAATTTACATCCTATTATCTTATTATTCAATTAGACGTGGAAAGGTAAGAGAATTCGGCTAGAATTGTGTGTTTTATGTTATTTATTAACTGAGATCATAATAGAAATAAATAATTTTATAAATACTCTGGATGTACAAAATTGTAAAGGATATATATATTTCGAATTTAAGGAAAACATATTCACCTTCTAGTGTTTCTGTAGTCGTCTTTTCAGTAGAGAAAGATCCCGCTGTAGATAGAAGATAAATAATAAATTGTATAGGTTATCAAATTGGTGCAGATGATATATGACGCCGCTGGTATCGTATCCAGACACCTACCCCCTGGAGTGACATCCACCCCCGGATAACCACCACAGTCAACTACTACCTAGGACAATTACAGGACAATTACCCCATTTGGACAACTACCCCCAGATAGCCACCCCCAGTGGATAGTTGTCCGGGGTAGTTGTTTTAGAGGATGGTTGTCGAAGGGGGTAGTTGTGTGGGGGTAGTTGTCCGGGAGTTGTTGTCCTAGGGGGTAGCTGTCCTAGGGGGTAGTTGTCCTAGGGGTAGTTGTCCGGGGGTAGTTGTCCCGGGGTGTAGTCGTCCTAGAAGGTGGCTGCCCTAGGGGTAGTTTTCCTAGGGTGTAGTTGACTGGGGTGGTTTTCCGGGGGTAGATGTCCCTGGGTAGGTGTCCTAGAACCGCTGGTATTAATGACAAGGGTCAATGAGCATGATTATCTTATTTAGTCTTTATTATTATTACAGTTGTTATTGTTATTATTGATAAATAATCATTACAGTTGTTCTTGCTATTACTAGTACTACTACTCCTACTTCCATAATGATAACAATAAATACCTTTACTACCACTTCTACTACTACTATTACTACTAATATTAATACTACCACTATTACTACTACTACTACTACTACTACTACTACTACTAACGACAATAATAATACAACTACTACTACTACTACTACTACTACTACTAATAATAATAATAATAATAATAATAATAATAATAATAATAATAATAATACCACTACTAACATCATTCCTACTACTAATTATAATAATACTACCACTACTACAACTACTACCGCTACGGCTTCTACTTTTGTTACCAATATTTTGACTACTTCTACTTCTACTACTACTACTACTACTTCTACTTCTTCTCCTAACATAACGATAACAATAATACAATTATTTTCATTCTTCTACTACTACTACTTCCACTACTAACGACAATAATAATACCAGCACCACTGCTTCTACTACTACTACTACTACTACTACTACTATTTCTTCTATAACTTCTACTATTACTACTACTACTACTACTACTACTACTACTACTATAACTACTATTATATCTACTATTATATTTTTGATCAATGAAATCCTGTTCAGTGATCGGTCAACATAGCATCATGTGACCAAACATAACATTGCTATGATTTAACTGTGACGTCATCCATGGTATAGTGCACTATACCTTAGCACTATACCATGGATGCCGTCATATATATATATATATATATGCGATCGATCAAGATCAATGTGCTATCGGTCGCGGTACTGTCGTCTGTGCTGCTCTCACTGCAGTCTACACTACTTCGGTGACAGTAAACATTATTATTATTAGTATTATTTTAATGAAGGTTGGTTTGAAAAATATAAAACAGATATATCCTGCACTATTTCAAGCCACTAGTGAAATTATGGATTCCTCGGCGACAGAAAAAGCACTATTTTTTTCGGGGCTACGCCCCTCAAAAAATAGTGCTATTCCTGCCACCTCGATCCATTATTTCAACTAGAGCTTCTCAGTGCATGGTATATTTGTTTACTACTCCTAATACTGCTACTCCTACGTCCTACTACTGATACGGCTACTCCTACTTCTACTACTAAAGTATTTGATTGAAAGAAAACGCCTAGCTATTTTTGGATTCTTTGGTACTCTCTGGAGTACTAAATCTTGGGTTATTTTAGTCCTAAATCAGGTAAAATCATATTAATATTTAGAATTAAAAAGAGGCATCCCTAGTTTTACATAAGAGACAATTGGTTACTTGCTAGAACAAAGACAGACCATGAAAAGCCTGTTGATATAAGTTACAATTTACAAGTTATACAAAAAACGGAAACCCCCAGTACAAACACCCAACTGAAAAATAAACTTCGGGTGAAAAAAATTAGACTCACTCGATACGACGTTCATGAGTCGGTATATATTTAATAATAATTTAGCCTTGACATTAGATGTTTATTTAGACTTTGGAAAATACACAAAAGAGTCTCCGATACACTATTTACATGCAATTTGGTGTTGGTAGAGCAATTCAACAAATCCGGAAGGAAAACTTTAGGGGAAGATGTATTGCTGCCTGTTAAAATGCTTAATGGCTGTTATTTCAATTTTGTTTGACAAAAATGCTAGATCGCTTTGCCAAGTTATTAGCAAACAAATATTCGTTTAACATCTCTCGTATTGCTTTTTCGAAATGCATTTTGTGAACAAGACATCAAGAAACTAAAACAATTAGATAACAACGAGATATTTGAATTACTTTTGACATCTTTTTTTCTTATTATTCCACTAAACTAGGTAAGGTAAGAAAAGCAGGCTAGAATTTTTGGTTATTTATCAACTGAGGTCATAACAGAATTCTGATAACTAGATAAATACTGTGGATGTACAAAACTGGAGAGGATATATAAATTTTTGAATGTTAGGAAAACATATTCACCTTCTGGGGTTTCTGTAGTCGTTTCTTCAGTGGTGAAGGATGCCGCTGTGGATGGAAGATAAATAAATAGTATAGGCTATCAAATTCATTCAAATCGTATATGAAATAGTTGGTATCAATTACAATTAAGGCCATTGAGCATGATAATTCTATTTTGTTTTTATCTCGAATTTTCTTTAATCAGTATCATTATTAATATTTTTATTATTATTATTGTTGTTGTTATTACTGCTAGTGATAGTACTCCTACTTCTACTACCATAATTAAAATAATAATACCACTACTACAACCACAACTACTGCTAATGATGATGATAATACTACCACGACTACCACTAAGACTATTACTTTTCATTGCATTTGTTTGCGATGAATTTGCAATCAATGATACACTGTCGCTCATAATGTTGGAATATTTTTTTTACCCCAATTTATGGAATTATTTTGACATAGATTTATTCCTAATAGATCTAGATAATAGTATACATTCTTAGATTTTATTGGATAATAAGATGCCTGCTAAAGCATGTGTATGCTAATATGCTTATCAACTAGGGGACTTACGCCCTCAAGTCATAAATGACAGTAATGAGGATTAATGCCCCACAAAACGGCACTAATGTTGCACATCGACACGGTTTTGATCCTGGGGCCTCACAGTTACGAGGCCATTGCTTTGCCACTGAACCATGACTGTACGCAGCGGGGGCTAGGGTAGGGGGCAGTTCCCACAAATAAAACAAATCAAAGAAAATGCAATACATTTTCAATTATTCATTGAATTCCCCACCCCCCCCCCCCCCCCGGTCCCCCAACATAAAAAAATCCTCTGTACGGCCATGCATTATGGCTCAAGGCATGGGCACACAACAGATTTTTTTTCTGTTGGAAACCGGGCGGAAATTTAATGAATTATTGGAAATTTATTCCATGTATACAGCGCGCGCATTTGATCGCGCGGGTGAGGTTTTTGCGGTTTTACGATCAGACCCCCCACTGTTTCTCATTCACATATCGCTCGCGTGAGATCAAAAAAGTTCTATTAAGACGGGGCTTTAGGGGAATACCGAACCCAAACATTCAACTGGTGAAAAAAGAATCAGACGTGCTCGATACGAAGTTCATGAGTGAGTATATATTTGATACCAATTTAGCCTTGGCACAAGATTTAGACTTTAGACTTTGGAAAATACACAAAAGAGTCTGCGAGTCACTATGTACATATATTTAAGATTCTCATTCAATACATACAATGAATTTGGTGTTGGAAGAGCAATTCAACAAATTCGGGAAGGAAGCCTTCAGGGGGAAATGTACATGTTAATACGCATAATAGTTGTTTTTTGACAATGTTGTCCTCCTTGTTTCCAGAATTGTAATATATAAAGGGAAATCATCAACTGAGATCATAAAATAATTCCAATAATTAGATATAAAGTGTAGAGGATATATCGATTTCGAATGTTAGGAAAAACATGTTCACCTTCTGTCGTGGCTGTAGTCATTTCTTCAGTGGTGAGGGATGCCGCTGTAGATAGAAGATAAATAAATAGTACAAATAATACACAGCAGTGAGGGCATTATGTGGTACTTTCTTGAGTACTGCTTGTAGATCCTCCTAAGGTATTGAGGTGTACTTCGGTTATTTTAGTTATAGATCAGATCAAATCATATCATTCTTTAGAATAGGAAAAGGGGCAACCCTATTAGAGAAGAGACAAAGAGCTACTTGCTTACACAAAGACAGACCATTAGAAGTCAAATGATATAAGTAACAAGTTACAAGTTATACAACAAAATATTAATCAGACGCACTCGATTCGAAGTTCATGAGTCGGTATATATTTGATAACCATTTAACCTTGACACAAGACGAATACTTTCGACTTTGGAAAATTAAACTAAAGAGTTTCCGAGTTCCTTTTTTACATACAGTGTATTTCAGATTCTTATTCAATATATACAATTTGGTGCTTGAGGAAGAGTTCAACAAATTGGGGAACGAAGACTGTAGGAGGAAATGTACGGCATGCCTGTTGATATGCAAATGTAATTTTTTTATTCCATGAGCCCATTGATTCTCTTTAGGTACCAGTATATGTAACCCAAAGATCATGTAAACTTCTAATTTGAATGAAGAGTTACATAGGCAGGAACTTTGTTAACATTTATTGCGATAGAATGTTCAAAGTTTCTATAACTCACCTTGTACTGTAAGTTCTGCTTCCTCACTTCCAAACAATGTATAACATCTATACAGTCCTTCATCTTCTATCTGGGTATTACTTATTGTCATAGTGGATGTATTCCCACTTACTGTTACTCCAAAATTGAGATATTTGGTTTCTCCAGGCCCGTAAGCCCTATACTCATTTAAGAATATAATGACATTTGCTGAAATATCTTCCCAGCGAAAGTAATAGGGCGCTGCTCCTCCAGTACAGGTAAAAACTGTATCACGTCCTTGCTCTATAGAAGGACCTGTCAGCGTCACAGATTGGCCGTTGGAGAACCCTGTGGTCTTAAGAAAAAGATGGGGGCTTAATTATTCGTAAAAAAGAAATCGCTCGAAAGCAGCGTTCCGGTTTCACATGCTTGTTTAGGGGAGTGAAAAAGATTTTTTTAAATAACTTTTGCCCCGTCTGAAATCGTGAGTTTGTTAGAATGAAGCAAACTCAATAACATTGAATTTAGTTACCAGAATGGTGTCTCATTTCATTGTTTATAAAAAATATAAAAAAGGGAATTTTTTAACTATTAAGTTATTATAATGAGCTGATGTGAACTGAAATGAATATTTTCCCTTCATATTGCGCTCTTTCTTAACGGTGTACGTCATATATTATACAATTTAGTTACCAAAGAACAAATCTTTGAATGTCTATTCAATAAAGAAGACGTTTTCTCGTTAAAAAAAGAGTCCATAATATTCTGCTCCTACGCTTTGAATATTTTTAAACCACGGGGAGACTTCCAAACAGCAAAACATATCGTATTGTACAAAGTTTTTTTCCTTCCGAGACGATTAATGCCTCCTGCTCGGATGTTCCAATTTTAGCAAAACAATATTTGTAGTAACACCTACTTAATTATGAACTGTATATTTTTTCCTAATCAAAATACACTAGATTAGATATCAAAAATACGTTTCATGTTTTAAACATCGCTAACGAGGTGCAAAATGCTTTACCCGAATATTGGCATTTTACAAAATTATATATTATATACTGCATGTACCACTCCCCGCTCCTCCCTCCTCAACACTAATGGCCTTTGACAATACATCAATCCACATTTTCCACACCCAACTCAGGTGAGATAAATTTACATCAGCATGCCCCCGACCTTTCCGTCATGGCAGCTTATAACCCCGTTACAAATATATGGGTATCTAGCAGGAATTAATTCCTTACAAAGCTTGAGCGCTGTATTTGCAGCCGTGTTTACTGGAGCGCCATAGAATGGCATTGTGCAAAAAAATGAGCGCTTGAACCAACATATACTATATCTAAAAGACGTGTCTATTTGACTGGTTATAACAGCTTGTATTGCTTTCAAACCGCAATATTGCAGACAACTTACCAGCATTAACAGTCCGATGAAATACAAAACGGCTCTCATTTGTTGGATATCCATTTTAGAGCTGTCCAGTCGACTCATTCTGTAAATGATCAATTTCACGATTTGTTTGTTAGCTGCTTTAAGAAAACATGAATGCAAAAGAAGCGTTAAGACCTTCAATAGCCTATAAAGTTAAAGGCAATACAATCAAAGATGAAGTCTAGCATGATGACAGGCGAAATATATATGATAGGCCTATATACACTAAATTTACGTAGAAATTTAAATGTTAGCAAACGTTGTAGGGTCTTCTTGAAGTCCATTGATAGGCCTATATAATTGTAGTGGGTTTCTTTTCTTTTCTTTCTTTCTAACATGAGCTACGAATTAAAATGTTAAATCACCATTTTGAAATGTCCGAGGAGTGTATGTCCAAAGTTTCTAACTGTACGTTTTTTAAAATGGTAAATTCAACCTTTCTAGTTTTGGATCCAACATGTTCAAAGTGACAATCTACCATTCTGAAAAAGTAGTCACTCTTCGGCCCTTTTAAATGGTGGCATAACAGTTTAGTTTCTAGAGTGATATAGAAGAAAAAATACGTCAACAGCACTTTAATCTTCGAACAATTGTTATTTTTCCACTCAATCATGCGGTTAAATATGAGGGGGCAAAATTGTATTCAATTTATTGAAAGCCCAATAAGACTGAATTTCAGTAGAGCTCCCGATAAAATTCGGGGAATATTAATTATATATATATCGAGATTAACTTAGAGCTGATCAGTTTAGCTATGTTTACTCACCCGAAGTCTGTCTTGAGCTTGCACGAACAGATCACAACGATATAGGTTTATTACTCACTTCAACGAATGTACCACATGCTTTGCGGGAGATTTAATGTTAAAGGGTCTGGACCGCAAGCTGGCTTTTATACCAATGTCGTTGATTGAACAAGCCGCGGCAGCAGAACAATACTGTTTGAGGATGTATAAAGACTGAGGGCAGTATATCATTTTCTATGTTTTGAATATGGATCAATAACAAATCCATTTATCTATCTATTTATCTATGAGGCTACTTTTCCAACAATTGCCAAATTATTGAATGAAGGAAGAATAGTAGATTTGCCTCATCATGGTAATAACAGGCCTACCGATGTGACTTTCCTGGGTAAATACGACCTTTAGTAGTAAGATATGATGTTGAGCAACAGTATATTATGAGCTGTCTTTTTCGCTCTACTCTACTTGACTAGACTTGTACGTTGTAACACTCGATCAGGTCGACTATATAATTAACTCCGTTATTAAGGATATAGGCCAATTTAATTTCATGAGTTTTACGTTAATAATCCAGTGTTAATACGTTAGGCTAAGAGCCTCTCTCGAAACAGTCACCATCTTTTAACAATAACATTTCACCTCTCAAAGTTACTTAACCTACATAACTCATTTATAACCCATAGCCTCTCTTTTACAGGTACATGTAAGAGTACACTAGTATGACTGTTCCATGTCACACAGATTTATATAATTATGTCATATAATTATTTTGTAATAATATCATTTCTCACTGTACAAGCTACATTGTTTATTGTTAATTTGTGATTACTCGAGAAACTATACCACTTGTTTAATTTCTTATTTATATATTTGTTTGTTTTATTTATGTATTGTGAAACAAAATGTTCATGTATATGAATGAAGTTTACTAATAAAATTCAAATTCAAATTCAAACTTATAAGATGATATGAATAAAGGACATAATAACATACAATTTTAGTTTGTACTGATTTCTTTTTATTTATAAATATAACACATTTCCAGTCACTATCATAATGAACAGACCCTATTTTACTTAAAGTTTGTTTCTTGACATACCTTCTTCAATATACTAGCTGTTATACCTATTTTCCAATCGATACATTATGGAGGAAAAAAATTAAAGGGCTTGTAAGTGTTTTTTTTATTATTTTGTAACTTCCTCTTTTCATTCCCTAGGAAGTCTAATTTTGGCCGATCAATGTATACATAACAGATAAATACGTACATAAACAAAAATCTCTTTTTTAAAAAGGACATAATAATAATGAAATAATACATGAGATTTATATCAATATCCATGTTTTTGAGAGAAGGGACTATTATTAATATACGGTATACAAAAGCGACGATGGAACATAATTCTAGGTCTCTCCGTAGAGCAGAGATCAACTTCAATATAATTTTGGATATTTGTATATATTTTACTTCGGGTACACCAAATAACGATCTTGGAAATAACAAAGCCTCTGAATGAGCTTCAATGAGCTTCAACCTGAACTGTACTATACTACCACACACAGTGACGTATATGGTTAGGGGTGTTGGTGCTCCAGGCCCCATTGAAGGCAAAAAGGGGGGAAAGGAAAACAAACATGGGGAAACAAAAGGGAGGGGACTGATGTATCGCGAATGGAAGACGATACGACCACCTCCCACGCGGGGCCAAGTAAAAGTAGCAGAGGTAAAAATGTGAAATTTTCACCTCTGCTATTATTACCTTTAACATGTTTATTTCTGACATTTTGACCTCCAGGTATTTTACCAAAAAAAACTCCCACACATTCTTCATTTTCGTTGGCTTTGTCAATTCAAATTTCATGAATGGTGAATGTCGGGAGCCCCCCCCCCCCCCACACCCCCCTCCCCCCTCAATTTGTGCAGCCAAGTAAAAATCAACTCTAATTTACTTTCCTTCTTCTCCAAGTAAAAGTGGAATCATCTCTAATTTACTGCTCTGATTCAGTCGTTTGAGTGTGGATTCCAACAGTAGTTAGCGTTGATTTCCACTCTGAAACAAAAGGATCCCTACTATTCACTATGAATATGACGGACAAAGAAAGAGGACAAAATATACAGTTCCTCAGGTAGACAAAGGAACATCCCTTCACTGCTATTATGTAAAAATGTGTAGAACAGGTGTCACATGCATATTCACCTGTTCTACACATTTTTATCTTTTGTCTACCACAGCAATTGTTGAGGGTAGAATGAGGAACTGTATACTTTGTCCTCTTTCTTTGTCCAATCCTGTTCGCTATTTTAGAGAGTAAATGCCTGAATCTACGTACGCTACGTCACATAATGCTTTATTTTCATATTTTTTACCAGTATAATAATAAATGTATAATATTAGGTCCATTTATATAGCGAAGCTACATGTACTGTATGAATATACTTTACTGCGCCTAAGACGAAGTATCATAATTACCCCGGCAGTAGCTTAGTCGCCATAATAAGGTGTATAAAGCATTCTAGAATTTTCTTCCTATACTGGGTACCCATTTACTTCACTTGGGTGGAGAGTGGCAAATGTAGATTAATGTCTTGCCAAAGGACATTGGTACCGCGGCGGAACTCGAATCGCGAACAATGTGATCCACAGTCCATTGTCGTATCCGCTTGACCACGACACCTCTACAATCATGACTATGTTTAACGATCAGACGATTGAACTAATTAATTTGGTGATTTCTCTTTGCACGATAAACTTCATTGCTCAGGATGTATATGATGATTGCTGTGAAGGCTGGGATGAACATGGTCAAAGACAGGGAGATTGCTGGATGACTACCGAAAAAAGCTTGACCGCTGCAAACAACAAGAAAATCCGAATTAGAGAATATTATCAGATTATCAAACGAGATTAAACATGGGGTATTTGGTGAAGACGGGCTGTAAATTCGTACCTAGTAAAATAGAAAGCCTCCCAACCTGTTTAACAGGGACCCCCAGTGCCCTTGTATTTAAGGTAATTATTTTCTTCTCAATGAGTGCATGGGCGAATCAGTACGATATTCAGTGGCATATATTAGCTATGGAACGGTACACGTTCCCCCTATAATCGGATGCCGAAAAAAAAAAACATTTTTAAAATAGAGAGCGAGAAAGCGAATAGAAAAGAAGAGAAGAGAAAAGAGAGAGAGTGTGTGTGTGGGTGTGAGAGATGAAAGAGAGAGAGAGGGAGAGAGAGAGAAGTACAGATAGAAACAGATGGAGAGAGAGAGAGAGTAAGTAAGAGAGAGAGAGAGAGAGAGAAGGGGCGAGAGAGAGCAGGGGAAGTGGAGGAACGTGACAAGAGGTGATAGAACCTCTGTTCCCACCACCCTCCCCAATCGATGGCCTTATTTCGAATTTCATCCACCAAAAGGGGTGTGCACCCCCATTGTTACCGATGCCCCCTTAATGTCTGGACTCACGCTACGTCACTGTAACCATAGCCTTTTGACAAGGCCTCGTTGACTCTGGCTAAGCGGCTGAGATGAGTCTAGATACCCGGAGTGAACGCGCGACCGAATGACGAAGGTCTGGACAATTCGCACTGGCGTTCATTCAGGTTTTCGCGATTAGTCTCTTTTTAGTCGCTCGGCGTCTATCAGGCATGTGGCCTTGTTTAAAGGCTACTGTAACCAAGGAGTCAATCCCCAATCCTACTTACACTTGAATTCCAGTGAGACAGGTAGCCGTAGCAGACACCAGTGTCAGGATCCCGATGAAAGCGTGGAGGTGCAAATAGGACACTTTTAACCATTCAGGTGCGCATGGTGTGACGAAGATAAACAACGCACATATAAACTGCGACGAGAAAGGAGAAAAGTGTTTGTTTAATATTGGTAATATATCAATAATTCTGTTTGAGGAAGTCATGGGGTGGATGCGAAATTAGACAAATTTTAATCTTAGAATGTAAATGGCAGCATCGAAATTATAAAGGAACGACATACCACTTTGGATCAGAGAAATATATTGTATCATTTGTATGCCACCTCCAAAATGTTTTATTTTAAACGCACTCCTTCCCCGGATGAGCTTATTGTATGAGTCTATCGTTTAGCACATTCAAATCTTTGTGAGCACTTCGGTATCTTTTTGTTTTTAGCGCCTCTAGTTTTTATTATAGTTATCATATAATTATCTAGAAAACAATTCCTGTCTTATTTGATAATGGGTATTACAATGACACATGGCACACCTAGGTAAAACTGTACTATAACTTTGAAACTTTCAATTGATTATATAACTTCTCTGTAAATGTGTCAACAAGGTCAATTAATTATCATGATTTTTCTGACGACTCGAAAAGGACACGAATTTCGAGAGGGGCTGGGGGTGTTAAGCGGGATGTTTAATACCTGTAAAACGAACAAGGTGGTGGTCGCAATGCCCAGCACGGCATGAACGTTGTCCAATGTCTTCCCTATGATGGAGGTAACGGCAAGGTAGATGCCAACGGCTGTACATGCGAGCACGATCATCATCATCACTACATGACATGTTTTTACAAGCTTGGGACGGATAGATAGCCGGTCAGAGATGCGATAGAGTAGTGTGCCTGCATGTGTGAAAGGAATAGATCAAATCCAATCCAAATATTCAGCTCCATGTATTGACACAAAATCCTGTTTTGGATTATCATCAAATACATGAAAATATGAAATGAAAATGAGTCCTTATAATAATCTGAGGGGTATGCCGTGTGTGGAGGCACACTCTGCACAGTGTTGAGCTGGCACACTTCCCCTCTCCCATTTCCAAACCCTAATGCCTTTAAACAAATGAAGAGCTTGATTCCAAAAGGAGCTAAATCCATATTTTATCAAAACTGAGTTTTTTGTCTTAAAATAATGGTTTCCTACATGGGAACAAAATGCACTATATCGCATTCTAAAATTTCACCAGGAAATATGAATTTTGTTAGTTACAATATCATGTTTCATTCCAAAAGGAGCTAAATCCAAATTGGTTTCATTCCATAAGGAGCTAAATCCACTTTGGGTAAATCAACATTTTTTGTTTCTCCACTTTCCCTTCAGCCATGTACCTTTATGTTGTTATTTATGTTAAAGGTGTCGCCCTGGACCAATAATATATGATAAGAAAAAAATCTACCAGTTATTTCTGATTTTTTTACTAAATTATTAAAATTTATGGATTTAGCTCCTTTTGGAATGAAACATGGATTTAGCTCCTTTTGGAACGAAACGGATTTAGCTCCTTTTGGAATGAAACTGTGATATATTGTTTAATTTCTTTGCATAAGGTAATTTTAGATGTGATTTCACTGTTATTATTTAAAAGGAAAGGTTTGCAACTAAATTTGAATAAATTTCAGTGACTTTATTGAGAAAATATTCTAAAATTTCACAAATTTTAGGTACAATATCATGTTTCATTCCAAAAGGAGCTAAATCCACGAAAAATGAAAATCTAAATATTAATAAAAAATCAGAAACAACTTCTAGATTTTTTTAAATCATATATTATTGGTCAAGGTTGACACCTTTAACATATATAACAGCATGAAGGTACATGGCTGAAGAGAAAGTGGAGAAATAAAAAAAGGCGATTTACTCAGAATTACCCAAAGTGGATTTAGCTCCTTTTGGAATGAAACTCTTCAAATATTGGCCCCTCCCCCTTTGTCTATTTCTGGATTGTTGTCATGTGCCATGTAATTTTTCAACAACCAACGACTCGAGGAACTTAGTCATCTTCAGTATTCCAAAATTTTAAATTTTAAATGCAATATCATTTTAAGGGGCGTTGTCTATCATGATTGGGGGGGGGGGCCTAATTCATACTGTGTTAAAAAAATTCAATAGCCATGACAATAATGATAATGATGACATGAATAGCATAGGTGTTTGCGAGGATGACACAACCGGCCCTTTTCAAACCCAATTTAAGTTTTGAAAAAACTTTCTTTTCATTTCTTATTTTTTAATTCTTTGCTTATGAAAATTTGTCAGTCTAATCCTCCCCCTTAACAGAATGGTATTCAGCTTATTAATACAAAATACTTCACATACACAATAAATATATTGAAACTATATCACTGATAATGTAGGCCTAATGTTGATTATGCTATTGGGGGTTGGATGAAGAAAAATTAGGAAATACATTCAAATACTTACTATTTCCGAAAACGAAAACCATGCCCACCGTCATAATGAAAGGATGAATATAAATTTTTCCCAGAAGGTCCCAATGAAATCCAGATCTAACCGGGTAATAAGCCACCCATACCCCTATGAGGACCACCGATAGCACCCCTAAGATCTCGGCTAAGATGACGAGGGGTGTAAAGAGACGCCGCTTCAAGTCCCTAATAATTGACGGCGCTGGTAGATCCATGATGTCGATGAAAGTCCTTACGAGAGCTATGATGACAAAGAAGGGGAGATCGAGAAAGATATAATGTTGACTAGATGACATCTATATTGGACGCATATGCGGCGCGCTACCTCATTTCCATTTATGTTTACTAAAAGTAATCAAGGTTCCACCAGCTTTCTAGCACTATTTTAACATTACACGGTTTGATCGTGTATCATGGAAACATTATAAAACTACATACACTACATCTGCATTCACATTTTGTACATCACAAAGCACATGATAAATCCAAAGCTTTGTGCGTTTTACCAATCTGTTCACGTGAAAGACACATGTGCAGAGGCGGAGGTGGATTTAACTGTGTATCGTATAACTTACTTCAAATGATGCGTTTACCTCTTTATCGCGTAGGTTGATGCACCTCTAAAGGTGAACACTTAAGTATTGATAAATAACTGATAGTACTGAAGTACCCTAATAGTAAATATAATGTGGAGTATGGTTATGTAAACAGGAACACACGACTGCTGATATACAGTGTGAGTAAACACGTTGAGAAACGGGCATTGGAACAACGTGAGGGGGCACAAGTCTTACCCGGAAAATGGCATTCAAAACAAGTCTCCTGATTAGGGGGAGGGTATCGAAAGTTTTCATGACATTTCCCCCCTTCTCCCGTTCCCTTCTCTGTTTGCTCGTTTTTTCTGTTTAGTTTATTCATCTTTTGGGTGTACACATGCCTCCGTGCTCCCCCTCCTCCGCCTTGCAAATTCGCATTTCATTTCCATGTAATACCGGTGCCCCGGCCCTGCCTCCAAATCCTCTCAGTGTCCCCTCAGTGGGTGGACCCACGCTGCGCCATTGTTTATCATGAACCCGAAACAAGAGAAAGATTTGTTTTGTCCCCTAGCTCTTATCCTGGGAATAAATTCCCCAATCTGACAGCTCATATATGCTGCCATCTTTCGATCAGTTTTGACCAGTCTAGTGCTGATCATATTGTGCGTATCAATACTTGGAGGCCCGTATGCTCGACTTTAGTAACTCCTAATTCAAATGGTACAACCTATAATGACCTTCAAATGCATGTGTTATGGTAATGAGTAACTTATATGCTGTCGAATGATTAACCATTCATAAATGCGCTGCCACGAATGAGTGAGCATGCCTTGAAGTCATGATGACAGAAAACAAGTTTTCACTAACCATGCAAGACATCTCAGGGTCACATTGCTTAAAACTTTTTATTTAGTATTAAAGATAAACTCCAGTTCTGGTAAAAAAAATGAAAATTAATTATCACAGAATCAAACGAAACTTACACTGAATGTTCAAGATTACAATGGATGTCATGTGCCAAACAATTTTGGAAGAAAATGTATACTGGCTGAGTAATGAGCATAGAAAGACAAGGAAATCAAGGTAGTACTAGCCCGGACACCATGTGTGTTGTCCCATATATAGCTTTCTGTGTACAGTGCTTGTTACTTTACCAAGACTCTGTCAAATTTATTATGATTTTGATGACTCCAGAACCTTGCAGTGCAAACCAATACTTACATGCTACATGATCAACTGTTTCTGATCCTTTCCACACCTTTTTTTCACAATGCAATCGCATTACCAGTACTAAAGTTTATCTTTAATACCAATGTTTCAGTACACTTACTTAGTACTGCGCACTGTACAATGAAGTAAATAAATGAGACATCCCCAATATGCTGTCGTCGATCATACTAAATGTGTGTACAATTAGATTATGAGCATGTAGCCCATGTTTCAACATTGTACACACAATTGTCTTCTGATATCAAATTAATTTAAACAAACGCACAGATGTAGTTCCTTGAGCAGAAATTCAAAAGGAATTTGCGAGAGGGATCATGGAGAAGGCGATAGAAGATGTATGAGGAAGAAAAGTTTCTTTAGGAGAAGAAAATCATTTCAAGAGGATGGAAGGGTGCAGGAAGGGGCGGACCCAACCGGCGGCATGGGAGGGGGCAAAAGAGGGGCCCAATTCGTGAGAAAATTTGAAAAAACTCGCCAGCCGATATTTCGCTTAATGGAGGGAGCACTCATTTTGTTTACATTTTTTGCCCCCGTTAATTTGAAAATCAAGCCGACGGATATTTTTTTGCCAGGGGAGCCGGGGCCCGTCTTCTTCTTTTTTTTTTACAAAAGAGGTAAAAATGTACGTGTTTTTATCTGAGTTTTTTGCCAGGGGAGGGGGCCGGACCACCGCCCCCTCCCCCCTCCCTGGATCCGCCACTGGGCGCAGGAGAGATACAGAGAAGGATGATATGGAAGAATATTGCTGATACAGAGGCATGACGATGGCACGTGCAATCCTCACACTACACCCCTCCCCTTCCCCCATCACATTGCGACAAACAAGGGGCAAGATAAAAATGAGAGAGCAAAGGAGAGAAAAGGAATGTTAACCAAAAAATCTTACTTGTTGGGACTACCAAGTAATCCCGTAAAAAGAGAGCAAAATCGGCAAAATTATGTGATTGATTATCAGAATGAGACTAATCCTCAGTTATTCCCCACTTTACCAAATTTGTTTTTCTTCTTCATTATGATAGCCTTTTGGTATGTCCTAAAAGTTATAAAGTTTACTTTTTTCGATTTTTTTTGAATTTCTATAACCCTTTGGTCTGTCCTTATGTCAATTTATATTCCCTTTGAGGACATTCTTTATGAATACAAGCGAAACATTATGCTTATTCTGACTATTGCGACAAGAAAATGGTAGGGAAACGACCGGACAAAGATATTTGCAAACAGCCATCCTCGATTTTAGTATTTACAATATTGAACAACAACAGAGAAAAGCATTGTCTTACCTGAGAATCCACTCTGGTTCGTCGAAAACGTAGCCGGGAGAGACGAGGTCCTGTGAAAGCCCACTAAACAAATGCCGGCTTCCAAAAATATCAATTAAGTTCCTTGTATTAAAGCTTTCTCACATTACATGAGTCACATGTGAATGAATTTAAAAGCACAATGATATAAAGTTTATTTTATAGCTTCCATGTGATGCCAAATGAAGACGTAAACGTCAGATGTCGGAAGTTGTAAAGAGAAGATTTATCTGACAGCATGCAGATTGCCTGAATATCATAATACTTATATCACGGATAGTAAGTAAATAGGTTGTGTCCGCCTGCACTTGGTACCGAGTGCACTACCATTTATTAGACTGGAATAAGAGATCAATCTCCTGTATAAGTCTAGATTCTATCAGATATCATTATATAATAGGCATTCTCGTCCATCGATTAATCCAATAAATCTCAGACTGAACCTTGAGCCTATCAATATTTACTTTATTGTCTGTATCAGTTAAGTATTTGTCCGGTCATATCAATGAAATGCTTCGTCATTGTTGTCGCATGAAATTCTTTCATTTGTAAAATGGCATGTGAAACCGATTTGTGTGTAATCAATCTTTCTTTCTTTTTTCGTACAGTTACTTGCATTAACCGGGCGTTGAACTTTGGCCACATCTTTCTTTTGTAGTTTGTTTCGAAGTTTGGGACCGCGCTTAAGGGAAAATATAAAAACTATACTTCTAGCGACTTTTCAAAGAAGAATTATATCACTGGCGGTTTATTTGCCTACATTAGGAAGATTGCACCTAAGAGGATCTGGGGGGGGGGGGTGTTTCACAAAGATCCTAAGTTGAACTTATCTCTAAGTTGGACTTAACAATTATGGAAAGCCGCTAGCATCTTTGAAAATATTTTGTAAAAGTTATTTTAAAAGGCATAAAATGTTGATTTAAATCATCTATATTTTCTATTATCCAGGAGATTTCATGTTCTTGATGTGGAATCTATGAAAAGTCTAAAATACTTCAATTTTTGCTTTTGGGTATATTTTAGTTTAAGGCTACAAACGGCTCTCCATAATGTTTAAGTCCAACTTAGAGTTAAGTTTGACTTAGGATTTTTGTGAAACACTCCCCTGTAAGCACCGACCCGCTGTGCGAGGCTTCAAACAATGGAATTGGACAATCTAATCAAGAACGTTGTGGCGTAATGGCTCGAGTAGAAGAACCCATTTTAAATCCAAAACACTTTGCATACAGAATTTTTTTCATTTGGTTGGGAGTATAACAAAAAAAATCATAACATGAAGTTTAAAGCGTCAACTAATCATAGAAGATAAGCTTTTCTCTGCTTGAATGTGGATTTTCTGAAGCCAAGTGGTACACTACACGGTTTGTCAATATTAAAATGGAAAAAAATACCTTAATTTTATCATTGGGCAATACATATTGTGCCATAGGGGGGTATGACCTAGAAATAGGTGCCCTCATTTCCCTCCACACACACAAAATGGAAACCAAATGCCCCCAAATAAAAAAATGCTTCATACTTCATACAATGGGACTGCCCCATTGCCGGGGTTTTATGTTTATTTTTGTGTTAATTTATCATTTTTTATTAGCTTTATTTATTCATTTATTCATTCATTTATTCATTTATTTATTTATCTGTTATCTTTATATTTGTTAATTTCTTATTATTTATTTATTCACTCACTCATTTATTTAATATTTTTTTATTCATGATCTATTCATTTGATAGTTTGTTCATTTTTTTGTATTGACTTTTATATTTCAAGAATATAAATTGGGGTCCCCCACTCTCTTTACTGTGCCACGGCCACCAGGACGTCCTCCCCTGAGGTGGAAAGACCAAATCCGCCAAGACTCTGGATTAAGCCTGGAGGCTGCCCAACACCAAGCCCAGGACAGAAATGAATGGAGGCAGACCACCCGTAGGAGCGCAAGGGGACACTCCGTCCTGAGCACTTAAGTCAAGTAAGTAAGTCACTCTCTTTGTTAAGGCCCGGTCACACAGCCCTCCACGGGCGTATCGCGGCCGAATCACGGCCAAAAATTTCTGCCCGTGAAGCAGACGCTGTTGGACGCTTTGAGGTCGCGATAAAGACGCGATACAGCCGTACTTTACCCGTCGTTACACGCGGTAAGAAATTCACACGCGGTTGGCCGCGCGAAAAAGTTTTGGGCTGCCCAAAACTTTAGACCGCGGGTAATCGCGGGCGGTACACGTGGTACACACGCGGTAAAGACGCGGTACAGACGCGGAACGAACGTGCTAGGACGTGCTACGGCCGCGGTTAAGACGTGGTTACACGCGGAATTGGACGCGAAATTTTAGCGGGTAATCGCGGGTGGAGCACGGTCATAGCACGTTTGTTCCGCGTCTGTACCGCGTTGTTATCACGTGCATTAGCGTGTGTACCGCGTGTAAGCGTGGTAGGCCGCGGTACCGCCGCGCTTCACCCGCGATAAGGACGCGGAACAGTCGCCGGCGTCTGTTCCGCGGGCATACCACGGGTAAACCGCGGGTAAGCCAATTTTGCACATTTTTCCACCACGGGCAACCGCGGGCAAAAAAAAAATCGCGAAATTTTACCCGCGATACAGACGCGAAAGGCTGTGTGACCGGGCCTTAAAAGTCCTATCTGCATACGCCACCGCAATAAGTATGTTCGTTCTCGTTGTGAGAGTTCATTCCCATCAAATATTGCCTATTCAGAAAAATGTATTAACCTCCAATCAGAAACACGTCATTACTTTACAATAAAAAAACACACAAGCAGATGATTATCCATGTAATAATAGAGTTTACTTAGAATCTTCAAAACAATTAACAATCATTAATACAATATAACAAGAATTCAATTGACATTATAAAGGACATGAAATAGAAACGAGCATGATGAATCGAATTTGGTCATTTCATTTTAGACGAGAATGCAGATGTAATTATATTCAGAGGTCGTGGGTATTTAAAGTATTTATCACACTGGCCAAGTCAATGCTAACGGAGAAATATATTGATTCTATGCAAAATAAAAGCTACAGAAAACATGATAATCATAAATATAGCATATATTAATTGATTTAAATTACAAAACAATGCACATTATAATGAAAAGTACAAATCAAAGATAAAATATTTAAGATCATCGTTCAACACTACTTATAATATCAATCTTTCTTCATTTTTGATTATGTCACAGATGCACGTTAATGTGAAAGCCCTTTAACTATTTCCCTCGTATTATATTGAGAAAATATTTTTATTTTTGTTCAGTTAAGTTATTAGCACACAATAAAAAGTAGAAATAGTCCATGTACAAATGTTTTGCACCGCGTAACATTCATTAATTTCTCATGGGAACTTCTTCATAATCTATTTAATAATGATTAGCAAGTTGAAAATGTTTATCTTCAAAATCTCATATAATGTCATTTAATTTTCAGAATGTTATGTTCCACCCCGTCTTTTTTAAACATTACTTTTCCAAAGGGTCCCAAAATTGCTCCATAAGTTTGTTTTTGAGAGAATATTTTTAAGCACCCCCTTTGAACTTTTCGCCTTCTTCCTACATTAAACATTAAATATTTCATTTATTCATTCTGTTTTTGTGAAGACAAATATGTATATTTTTTAAATTAGATTAAATTAAACACTATTTAATCAATTTCAAGGAGGTTCTTTCATAGCCAATCATATAATCATAATAATATTCCGCTTATATCGCGCTTATAAAGCCCCACTGTCCTACTGGTAGCTACTTGCTCCCTCTATATAGAAAATTTCCCCAATCGGTGCCTCTTGGTCCCCCATGATCCTCTTTTTCTTATGTTAGTTGAGAGCTGAGTTAATGAGATAGCCACCTGTCAGTGACCTCGCTGTGTGGTCTAATCCCCTCTGGCTCAGTAATGTTGACGGTTGTTTTTTACATTATAACGCGGGATGTTGCGTTGTGGGGCAAAACAATGAATAATGATAATGGTATAATATTGATAATAATAATAATAATAATAACCAGTTGGCCTAACTCTGCGAGGCTTCAGGCTCTTCGTAATATACCTTCATCTATAGCATTTCAAGAATCTTTTGGGGAGGAACTAGATATTATTTAAAAATCAGGGATTCTGAACTTGGAAGTCAGTTATATTTCTGTATACTCATATTGTTAATCATGCCGCCCATTGTTTATTAGTTCTTCGAACAAAATAATTTAGGAAATAATATATTAATAACGATCGACACGTTAATCTACATCTGAAACAACTGAACCTATGGGACATACATTATATTTGATACACGACCTCTGAATTCCTGACAAAATCATAATACATTGAAATGTTAAAAGATGACCATCACTTTTTGAGCGCACATAAGCACTTCATGATAATGACACCAGCGGCAAACGGTTATCGGCACTCTTTTTCTATTTACAAGCATTTAATGATTTATTTCTAATGTCTCAGCCTCTATGCACGTTTGTCAATTTCCATTGCTTCAGCTATTTTACATCTTCTTTGAGTTTGTCCATATGATCGTTTATCTGAGACAATAATAATAATAATAATGTGTCCAGATTTGATTCGAACACTGTGGCTAAAACTACAGAAAATCAACCAAGGGCATTTTCAATAACCTTGTTCGCCACCCGCTGAAATGTGTTAATCCGAACATGATTTATACCGGGTATTGAAATTATCCTCGACTTGTTTTTTATCGAAAGTCTCTGCGATTGTGTATGGCGGAATAATGACGGTAAGGACAGTGAAACGTTCCGGGAAGAGATTGTTCCCTTATGGCATTATCCGCTTTCAATTCTATAATTCCTTAATCAAATACGAATTATTTATACCGAAATACAAAATCGATTGCAGTGATCTAGGCCTATATCAAAATAATGTGCCACTTAAAGTTCATATTTCCATCAGGTAATATAATCTTTTTGCTGTAGCGATCTTTCGTTTTGTTGAGTCACAAACTGGCTCTCAAGGATAATCTCGCTTTTATTTAACAAAAAAGAAAAAACACCATAAAATTCTCAATCTTTTTATGGATTTTTTAAAAAGAATAAAACCTGGTATGGACACATCCTCCGCCACGACACGCATGAAAATGGTCATGCATTGTTTTCGTATATTAAACGAAAATCACAAAAAAGCTCAAGACACTTGAATGGTGTGGAATTCCCTTAAAACATTGACATTTTATCTTCAGTACACATTTTATACTAAAGCTACAAAAACAGAGTACCACTAAAACGACACGACTGTCATTCAAATGTATACTACAAATCTTCGAGGAAATTGACAAAATAATACACAGCAAGATTTTTTTACAAAGACGAATGTTTTTAAGTTATGTCACTTAAATCGAACTTTGTTTCCTATTCTTGCCAGGAATTCAAATTGGATATAATAGCAACCATCAATGACTAACATTTTTTTCTTAAACTCTTGAATTGTTAGCCTTATTGTCCTATTGTATTTCCTTGGAGCTGCACCACCAGTCCACCACCACCACCACCCTGGAAAAGCTGTCCTCCCTTTTACTACAAAACACTATGGGATATGTAATCTACCTACGAAGTCAACTTCAATTGTAAAACTTTGAAAGTAAACCCCCTCGAATCAGGTGGCAAGCAAACCAACATTTCTCGCAAATCAAAGTTCACACCTTATCCCAAGGAAAATAAATGGTACACTGTGAATATAAATTACGGTCAGTTTGTTTTCATGTATTTTACCCCGGTATTTTCAAAGCCAGAGTAAATGACACTCGCCTCCTTGACTATGTTCCCATGCGTGACATGGTGACAGGGCGCCCTCTGAAGCTTGAAGTCTATACTCTATCTACTCCATTTAGTCTGCTCTGAAAGAGTGTTTTACACTAACCGGCTCTCGGTGAAACTGCTTTAATATGTCTAGGGCTGGAGGATACATGTACACTATTTCTGTTATTCTATGTGTTATTTAAGTATTCCAGACTCATGAATTGCCCGAATTCACGAAGAAGGTTTAAATTTAACCCATGGTTTCAATCTTCATTTACATAACTAATGGTCTGAGACTTCTAATATTGGACCTCTGAATGTGTACGCGATGAGATTCGCTAATTTTAGACCATGGGTTATGTAAATGAAGATTCAAACCACGGGTTGAATTTAAATCTCCTTCGTGAATTCAGGCAATTAAATCTCACTTCCGGTGACTGACGATGCTGCTCCACCCTACTCCACCTAACATCAGCCTAGAGCTCGTTTTCAAGGAGAAAATGGGACAGCGTAAAAACTCTCTGTTCTGAAACAATCATTAATTGTGTCAGATTTACTTCAGAAGGAGCAAAATATTTGCAAAAGTTAAAAAAGCATCGTGGTATTAAGCGTCGATTCAAGAAACATTACGTCAATATAGTACATAATTTTTGTAAAATGTAATGAAAGATCTCTTTTTTTGTCATGAGAAACGTTGACGAAAGTTCAAATCATTTTTGTACAATGTTGAGTCCGGGCCTCAGAGACGCTGAGTTCAGACTTCGGTCTCAATGTTACTGAATATTTGTCTTGAATCACTATCATTGACATCGTGTTTGGTGTGGCCTTCACTGCAAGCCATATCGCAATCGCATTCCTCCTCATCATCCTCAAAAACATCGCTTTTCTCTTCAGTTCCATCCTCTAAGAGGATCCTCTCATCGCGATCACTGTTTGGAGTGTCATCCGAAGCCTCCTCGATCTTGATATCAATCTTGGTTTTCTCATTCACCTCGACGTCGTTCTCGAGGTCATCGAAGTCGGGTGGATGGTGATCATACATGTTGCTCCGATCTGCAGCGCCATCAGGCGTCGGTCTCGGCTCAGTGGGGTCAGGTATCGCGATGCTGTTGCCTAGGGAGCCATTTCCCACGTGACCATTGGACGAATCGCCTCGCGAGAACTGTTTCTTCAGCGCGAAGAATCGTTCGCCGATCGTCGAGCGCCCGATGCTGGTTTCAAACACGGAATGGTTCTTCATCGAATCTTTCCGAGGCGGTGTCGAACACGATGAGCGTGACTGACAGCTTCGCAATGTTCTATGGGTGCTCAGAGTTCTGTTCAAAAGATGGAGACGCCATTTTCGCTTGACCTCGTTTTTCACTTCTCCGTTCATGAAACAGTAAAGGATCGCTAAGAGAAAACCCTGCAATATAAACATTTTAAAAAGACCAAGAAGAAATGCCTCATTAGGAAAGACTAACACTCCTACACCATTCAGATTCGAAAGCGTCTGTTTTAAAAATGTTGTTGAAACTAATATAATTACTCCAATGTAATGAAAGCAATTTTCCTACCTGAGCCTTCATTGTTTTATAATTCGATTTTGTGGTAATGTTTTTTTTTATAATGGTAAGGTTAAGTAAATAAAATTGTTATAAAACAGAAGATAAGAAAATGAAAGAAAATGCAATAAAAAATGTATCTGGACTGAGGACATATGAATGTGTCCTTGGTTGGCCGTAAATTTTCATTTTGATATCCATAAAAGCCTTTACCCCTCCCCCCCCCCCCCCCCCCCCCCAAGTCAGTATACAGTATGGGTGTATTTTAAAAGCAATGACCTCTAACCATTTCCAATCAATGTGTATCCAGGAGTTTACTTTTTCGGGAATTTCATCCCATTCATTTGTATTCAGCCCCCTCCAAGCGTCCCAACGTCAATTCATTGAAACTCATTAAAACAATTACTCTCAAAGGGATTCAATTAAAGGGCCGATTGAACAGGGGCGGCCTTCCGGCACCACCCGGTTTTGAGCCTTTCGTTTGCCCCTGTCGAAATGATCTAGTTACAGATGAAGAAATCGGACCGCAAATAAACGCTAAGAACTATTTTAAATCTATTTTATTCACTATAGAAAAGCTAAGCCAGAGGTCAGTGTCTCGTGGCTATTGAATTAAAACGCCAAATGAGAGCTTGCTAATCGAATTCACAAAATATACGGAGCATTTAAAAGCATTTATAGACTAATTTTAAAAATTGACTCCTTTCCTTATACGTACACTTATACAGGTATTTCCAAAGTATGATGACAACCGTATTTATTCATTTTCGCCATTGTGCTTATTTTAGATAACTTTTGCAATCTTTTGATCATGTGTGACCTGTGAACAAAGTTTGAATAAAAGAGTCTGAATAAAAGTAATACCATTAATTATATTTATATCTTTATCAAAATGATTGCTTTAAATCCTATATGACATGTTTTCATAATCTTTTGTTTTGTATGTCATCATTGACCATGCCATTTCCCTCCGATTCTCTCCCGTTCTCACTCCCTCTCTACCTTTATATTTTGCCCCCCCCCCCCCTGTTCAGGACTGCTCTCGTCAACATTGAGTTCGTAATAAGCACATTTTGTCATGCATACCCTACACAAGTTCCTGGGTTTGCGATTGCAATACATGTCAAAATCCTGATGTTTAATTGTATTTAGTAATGCCATCACGAAGACCTTAAAGATCTAGATGAGGCAATTTCAATGGTCTTTTGCATCACCTTCTGAAATATGCAAACATAACATTGACTTCAAACAGTATTACATAGTCCGACCTTGTTTAAAACAGGTAATACGTCAATGCAATGGCGCTGAACTTAAGTCTGTTAGATCATGTTCAGTATACTCATAACATAATTATGTACTTTGATATTTTTTTATTTTTTTTAAGGCATGGTATTTTACCGACAATGCTACCACTGTTGTAATATATTTTCAATTGCGCCATCTTTCGGTGAAGGCGTAGGTAGAGCGATTTTCGGCTCTCGTACCCAAGCATCATCACACGCATTACGTGCAGTTGAAGATGCATTGTGGGACATGGCTGTCAATACATCGGGGCATTGTGAGCCGCAGATGGCAGTATACGTAAATAAAGGAGAATAACGAGTGAAAGAAAACAACCTTTCCTCTGAAATGATTGTCTTTTTACGTACCTGGAATGGTGAAAGAATGAGTTCGAAGTACATTCTGATATAGACCATCGTGGTATCGTTCGAAAAATGCATCCCAACAGTGATGATGTAATACACTCCAAACAGCGGAATCAAAATCAGCGTCGACTTGGCCAATTTACTGGTAGTAAGAAAATAAATGGAAAAGAATTTCAAAATCTTGAAAGGAAATGCTTGCCTTGAAAGAAAAAAAAAGAAAATTCAGAGAAATCCATTCGTGAAAGTTTCAAACACGAAATCGGACAAAAACAAATTTAATTTTTTTTTTTTTTTTTTTTTTTTTTTTGTATTGAGATCCCTAACCAGTCACATAGAATTTTCATCTTAGCAAATGGGTAATATACATGTGAATGGGTGACAATATCGGGAAAATTTCCAACATAAACTTGCTTCAAAATTTTAATATAATTACTAAACATTTCAAAGCCAAACAGGATTACTTCTCATCAATCAGGAACGTATGAGGTCACACTCACGCATGATATCATTTTTGAACAGCCAAGAGGAAAAAAGTTACTGAGAAATAATGAAATAACTCCATATTTTACCGTACAACCGATATGAGAGTTATCCCCCAATATCTGAAAAGCGAATGACCAATTTACAAATCTGAGACTAATAAAGATTCGGTGATCTTAGCATCCACATGGTTTGACCAATTAATTTCAAACTATCGTCATGCCGTCTCTCTAAGTTTTCTTCTTTCACTCATCTCAGCATTTAAGAAAGAGTTGAATAATAATAATAAGTGTGCATCAGACATGCAGGTAATATGGTTGTAAAATATCATCACGATAACAATAAACATGCTGATTATGCTTGTTTTCATACCGTTTTTGTCGTATAATTATTTTGGAAAAAATTTAAACGTAGGATCAATAAGCATGTACAGGTCTAAGCGATTAGAAGAGGGAGAATAAATAAGACATGTATTTAAACATGAAAAGACACAAATTACCCAAACCAGACAAAGTAGGATACTGAAGACAAACTTGCCGATCATAATCAGAAAGGGGAAGGGAAAAGTGATGGCGGCGTTGATTCATGTTGATGATAGTGGGGGGGGGGGGGGTGGCACATGTACCGATCGGAAAGAAATACACTATACGGGAGGACACCCCCTCCCTCCCCAAAAAAACTGTCCTCATGGACAAGCCATTCAGCCTCCCTTCCTTTTGCTTGCAAAAAATGAATAATCTGGCCTTACCCTGTATCATTGTTAAGCGTGACTTAATATTCAAAACAAAGATGATGGTATGACCTGGTTATTAAAACACTTTTATCATCATGCTTGGGGTGAAAACAATTATTAATGAAACGACCTTTTTGTTCCCCCTGTTACTGCAGATAGGAATCACCAAGGTGTCTAATATATGCTATTGGTAATGGGCCGTGGAAATTCGTTCAATTTGAAGAATCAAAATTGACCTTTAATCTAATCATGGAGCCTTGATGTGTTACTCAAGACAACCTGGAGAGCGAGTAGCTGTAAATGAGTCATGAAAAGGTTTAAAACTGTTGTGCCCGAGTCACGATGAAGTAATCGTGAGTAAACTGTAGATTGTTCTTTGCGAACAGCTTTAGTCATAGGTTTCGGTTTAATAAAATTTGGAGTGGACTATTAGGCTATTATTATTATTATATGTTATTTTCTACTTTTTTTACTTGTATTATATTCAAGGAGACCTTAGGATTTGGGGATACATTGATTATCTGAGAATTTAATTTTTAAGTTGTTATTTTCTTTAAACCATGCCTTCAAAAATCAGACAAATTCCAAAGCAGGACCATTTTAATAAAAAAACATCCCTTGTGATAAATTCAAAAGGGGGAATGTAAGGAGGAGTAGAGAGAGGGAGAGAGAGAGAGACACAGAGAGAGAGAGAGAGAGAGAGAGGGAGAGAAAATCCGATTATTTTTGTGTTGGCCTCCTCCCCATACAAAGATGGATCGACGGTTACCCCTACTTACAAAACCTCTTTCAGTCACATCTTTTTATTTCGCGTTGAATCCTTCAAAAACAAGTTTTGAAAATCGGATTTATGACTGAAAACTCTCTCCGTACTGATGTACCTTCATCATGTTTATGCAAAGAGGTGGAAAATGCTATTTAAAAAGCTTTTTCTGATTCTTACGATGCAACATGCCACGTTCTACTTCAGGGGTCTCAGGTATCAATATAATTTCGTTCTCTTCTGAATATCCTATTATTTGTGCATGCGCGATTTCAACATTTAAAATATAACGCAGGATTAACCCTCATAACTACGCATACATTTTAAGTCAACAGTTACCATTCGCTTCATTCCATGTTTGTATTGAAATAAAGTCGGATTATAGACTAAGAAATGATGGAGAAATCGGAAAACATGGACAAGGCACTAAGAAACACCAAGCTTCCATTTACTCGAACATAGTATAGTCATGTATACCCCATGCTGCAGTCGGACATGCAAACATGATATTACCTTCACAATACCCCGAGCATAGGCATGACATGAAATATTGACCTCGAGAAAATTGAATTTGTTTACACTTTATCTACGAAATTAGAAGAGATTTTTAGTTTTGTTATTTGACATTTTTATTCTGAAATAATAAAGAAGAATTTGGGGGCTTTTGAATTGCTAGATGAAAAATATTTTAAAAGATCAATTCCGCCTTGCTTTAACTCCTTTGCATATGCAAATTAAACGCAATTTATACAAATTTATGTAAAAAATTGACCCCCTTGCAATTCAAGGTAGTGGACAAAAATGTTATATCAAATACATTTATATAGAATCCCCTCCCCTCATTTGCAGGAAGTTCAGACGAGTAACTTGGGATTTTTAGCCCTAATAGATATCTTTCAGCACACTATTTTTAACGTTTATGCAATCAAACTAGCTTTCGACATCTGAAAATGACGTTACCGACTTGGAATCCTTTTTTATTTGGCCTTAAAGGGACTGTGTAACATTGTTCAGATGAGAGATAGTGGTGCTAAGGTAGTGACTTCAATGCTAGATGTACAATTAAAGATAATCTGAAAATTTGAGTGAAAACGGATCATTATTCATGGTACAAATTGGGAAAAACTGATCTGATCGATTCCTTAATTCTCCCAACTATATTATTCTACTTCTATTCTGCTACTTGTCAAAGCCTGTTCAGCATCAAGACAAGGACAATTTAATTACATTTTAGGTGAATGTAAATCGTCACAAAGTAATAAAATGGCTCTACATTCCATTCCAGACAATTAAGTGTTGACAGATTTTTATAGCCTGTTTTTATGTATTTTTCTCATGGAAAAACCGTTGGGAAAATTCAAAAATGGTTGGGAGAATTTACTGTTAATCACTGTTAGAGGGTGCCTCACATCGACGCCTTCAAAGAAAACCATAGATATCTTTGTGATTTGAGAATTTGTTCAGGATTTTTTGCATGTCAGAGGGTTAGTATAGTAGAAGGAATATAGTAAGTAACATTTTATACAAAAATTAAGCAATTTTTTTCATCAACCTTGAACAATGTTACCAAGTCTCTTTAAAAATCTTTCAGGACATCATGTTTAACGTTTTTGTAATCAAACTAGCTTTCGACATCTGAAAATGACGTTACCGACTTGGAATCCTTTTTTATTTGGCCTTAAAGATCTTTCAGGACATCATTTTTAACGTTTTTGTAATCAAACTAGCTTTCGACATCTGAAAATGACGTTACCGACTTGGGATCTTTTTTTATTTGGCCTTAAACATCTTTCAGGAACTCACTTTTAAATCGTATGCAATTACACTAGATTTCGACATCTGAACAAGACGTATCCAAGGTACCGATGAATAATAAAGTGGATAATAGATTGATAGAGGGAAAAACCCTTGTTGACAACAACATCACTGCTACATTTCTCAACTGCAAATGTAGTAATACTCACTAGGTTTGCCCCAATGGCACTGCTATTTTAATGCATATCAGTGCTTGTTTCATGCAGGGGTTCAGGCAAGAATAATATAAGGAACTTTTAGATTCTGCACGACGAGAACGTGGACTGCCCTTTTAAGACAATGTGACGTCCTTTTAAGGCACTGGCAGTGACGTCACATTGCCTTAAAAGGGCAGTCCACGTTCTCGTCGTGCAGAATCTAAAAGTTCCTATTTGGAAAGGTTGACCAGCATGCCAACCAGATAAAAAGACGACTGTACGTGAATAATCATGACTAAATGGCTTTATTGTCTATGGGGGGTAAGGAGAAACGCTGTCTCCTTTAGGGTGCAGGATTGATTCCTGCGAATCCGAATACTAAATGCCTCCGCGTCCCTGCATCGCTACGGAAGATGTATCGAGTACAAACGACATGATATGAAGAGACAGATATCACATCATAGTTTACGTATAACAAGATGCGTTTCATATGTAAAGTGCCTGTAGAGTGTGATTGAGTTTAAGAGGTGTATGATGCGAGTGAGTTTGCAGGCCATGCGAACAACAGAATGCTACCTGTACGTTCTTGCCTCAGCTGCGTTACTTGCTCTCAGCTTAGTGGCCAAGACACACAATATGTGGAGAAACAGAACGAAATTCACCTGCAATAGAAAGAAAACAAAAAAGGGAAATTTTAGGTAACTTCAGAGAGGCATGGAACACAATAATAATAATAATGATGATAATAATAATAATAATAACAATAATTATAATAATAATACTAATAATGATAATAATAGAACAATTTAAAACCAATAATAATAATAAAAACAAGTTTAAAAGTATTCACACAATGATTATAATATAACTGCTATCAAATCTGAGTATCATTTTTCAACTTAAATTTTAAACTCTACACTCTCATACGTTATTATGTATCTCTTAGTCATTTTGGTTTAATTATACGATTTCTTTTAGCATGTAAGCAAGAAAATAAACAACAATGAATTTAAAAAAATGGACTCGTGGACTAACTTTGCAATGTCTATATTTGATTGTTATTAAAGGTCGAAAAATGTTTAGTTCAAACGAAACGATACCGTGTTAACTGTTGACCTACATGTACAGTGCGTCCCAGAAAAAACGAAACCGAGAATTATCGATGTTTTATCATAACTCAATGACATTTATAATTGATAAATGACACATATTTGAAAAGCTTAGATCCTCCTCTTACATTTGATGCAACTCATTATGATGCATATTTCACGCATGAGTGATTAAAATCAATTTGAAGAGAGGAAACCGAAAAGTCGTTTGGCGGGCGGTAAGTGAATTTCAAAGAGAAAATCACATTTCTAGAAAGTTGAGTTTCTGCCCTTTCATATGATACTTCAATCAGGAAAAATGAATAAGGAATTACAAAGTTCTGTTTGTTTAAAGTAACCCTTACATTTTCATAATTTTAGCAAACAAATTCGTTTTCACTGGCTGCCTGCCGTAGCAAAAAGCAGAATTGACCAAAGACTTAACTCCGTTTCGTTGACAATCAGCCATAGGCGTAGATCTGTAATTGATACCTATTGTTCAGGGGGATGATCTATTCATTCACCCCCCCCCCCCTGAACAATAGGTATTACGTAAGGATTGACGCCCATGCAATCAGCCATGCATGAAGTCTTTCGTCTACGGCTGATTGTCAACGAAACAGAGATAAGTCTTTTTTTAATTTCGTTTGTTGATACGGCAGGCAGCCAGTGAAAACGAATTCGTTTAATCAAATTATGGAAATGCAAGCACTACTTTAAACAAACAGAACTTTGTTATTCCTAGCTCATTTTTCCAGATTGAGGTGTCATATGAAAGGGCAGAAACTCAACTTTCTAGAAATGTGATTTTCTGTTAAAAATTCAGATATCGTCCACCAAATGACTTTTTGTTTTTCTCTCTTCAAATTGATTTTAATCACTCATGCGTGAAATACGCATTAATATCAGTTAGATCAAATGAAGGAAGAGGATCTAAGCTTTCCAAATATGTGTCATTTATTTATTAATTATAATTGTGATTAAGTTATGATAAAACATCGATAATTCTCGGTTTCGTTTTATCTGGGACGCACTGTATAATAACGTACCGAAGAAAAACAACAACATATAACAAAATTTTAAAAAATCTAAATTGCAGGGTAAATCCTGTAAAAGAATGAAATGTAATGTATGTCACTCAGACAGGAGTAATCGTGTATACTCCAAATAAAGCTTACCTCTAGCTATTCCTTCCTCTAAAAACTCAAATAGAATAAAGGTGGGAAAAAAGCACACTATTTGTTTGCATCGTGCACTGAAAAAGGCAATATGATAAACAGAACAACTATATTTGTTTCAGAATACTATGAATAAAAAGACGATAACATGATCGTCACAAATCCTTGTCCACAAAATCGCCAAAGGCTTTAGGTGTGCTTTACATTTTCTCAACATTTGCCGCAAGATGTTGACAAAATATAATGTTACAGTAGTCATGTTAAACAGTGTAAACATTGCAACTGTCATAACTTCGCTATATGTTATGTGTTTTTAAGCGAGGAAATCAACATGTTTACTCTTTTGTAATATAAAGTTATTAGTAAAATTCCGAGAATAAAAGATTTCTGGCTCTAAAATACTGAAATATCAAAGGCCCCCGGATGTTTATATGAGATCGTTATTGATTATTGTTGCGCCTTGCTCTGGATTCATATAAAGAAGGAACAATATGTCACTTGGTCTCCGGAGATAGAAATATGAGGCCATGACATTATCATATTACTACCTATGCAGGACGTTATACAAAGGATGAAAAGTTCAATGAAAAAGAGAACGTATTTCTGTTTGTAAACATCCAAACGTAAATGTTTAACGTAGTTTTGGACCGAAGTTTCCACAAGTCGGATTCATAAATCAGGATACGGGACAAGAAAAGCATATGATAGCCCCCTCTCCCTTTCCTACACCCTATCCCTAACCAGTGACCTTGACGATTTACATTTCATTCACATTGGTGTCGTGGACAAGTAGATACATCGTCGGACTGTCGACCTCAAGGTCCGCGGCTCGAATCCAGCCGCGGCAACAATGTCCTTTATCAAGACATTGATCTACATTCGCCACACTCCACCTAGGTGAAGTAGGTGAAGGAACCGGTAGGAAGGAATTCCTTGAATGCTGTGAGCACCGAAATCGGTAGCCTAGCAGAGCCGGGGTAATATTGAAGCGCTTTGAGCACCTTGCAGGGTGGATATGTTCGCTATATAAATATCCAATATTATTATTATTGTAAGACTCCCCCCCCCCTTTTTTTTTTAAACCAGTGTACGTGACAATTTGAAAAAAACTTTTGTAAGGTGATGGGAATAAATATTATTATTGTTCAAAATACCTTTGAGCCCCTATATACTAAACCATCAGCAGTGGTTATTTTTACATTACAAGACAAAGAAAAACGCTCTAATTACTTAATATATAACCATGCCAAAAGGTTAAACAGTACGTTTCAGATTCGATAGCACAAGTTTTAGGGTACACATCTAAAATATATGATAAAATCTAATAACATTAGAAGTTGTACCCTATGGGGTTCAATATTACACCTTAAAGAGTACGGTAACTTTGTCTTAGATCCTTTAAAGAAATCCTTGATTTAGCTCATGCTGCAATGATAATTATAAACCTTTAGGTCAGTCAGGAACCCTATGACTTTTACAAGCCGATCGCCTGTCTGATTATCAAGATATTTATTATTGAAAATCAAAATCAAATTTAGCATTTACCAAACGGTTTTCATAAAACTACAGTCTTTTGGGGAAAACGAGTATGGTAAAACCGGTCACTCAAAGGTTTTTATTTTTTGAGGCACTTCTTGATCATTTTGAAGCGCGATTTTTAGGGCTTCAATATAACATCATTTCACAAACACTGATAACACGTAGGGCCGTGCATCTCAGATTTAACATTGTTAAACCATCCCTGAGGGACATATGTCGTGGTTCAAAGCTAAATTGCTTTTGTATTAGATAATGTACTTACGATAACAGATATCATGACGGGTGCCTTGATTATCCAGTAACTTGAATCTCGCGTGACATCGTTCCACCAACACCTACATAGATAAAATGAAATGAATGTTATCAACTTAGACAAGAACTTAATAAAAAGAACATAGGGGAAAAAGCATGATGTGTTCGGGTTCGTATCTGTCAAGGCAATTTACCAATGGATGAAGTATGTGATGGAATAAAATTACTTATATGATTTGATTGTAGACACATGATTGCCCGTAAATCAATGTGCCGTTAATGTTCGCTGTGTAATAAGGTCAATGTCCATCTCCATTTGGTTTTCAAGGTATAGGCATTAATTTGAATCTAGGATAATAATTCATTAGTAGTAGAAGTAGTATAAGCACTAGTAGTAGTAGTAGTAGTAGTAGTAGTAGTAGTAGTAGTAGTAGTAGTAGAAGTAGTAGTAGTAATAATAGTAGTAGTAGTAAACCTAGTTGTAGTAGTAGTAATAGTAGTAGTAGAAGTAGTAGTAGTAGTAGTAGTAGTAGTAGTACAGTAGCAGTAGCAGTAGTAGTAGAAGTAGTAGTAGTAATAGTAAACCTAGTTGTAGTAGTAGTAGAAGTAGTAGTAGTAGTAGTAGAAGTAGTAGTAGTAGTAGTAGTAGAAGTAGTAGTAGTAGTAGTAGTAGTAGTAGTAGTAGTAGTAGTGTAGTAGCAGTAGCAGTAGTAGTAACAATAAATGTAGTCTTGGGGGAGGGGGTTGCTGGGGGTTGCTGCTGTTAATAGTGGTAGTTGTGTTTCTATCTTGTCATAAAAGACGATAAGGTGAAGAAGAAAAAAAAGGACCGTCATCCGCAGGCTTAAAGTAGACAAAGAAAAGGTATGGCAAACCGGTTCTCAAAATCCTATATATATATAACACCTCTCTATTTCGGTCAAAATGTATGCATTTATGTGCAAGAAAGGCATATTGTCTAATAGCATTGCTTCATGTTACTTGCTGGATAAGTGGACATAACGGTGATTGATTGTAAAGGTAATAGCTTCAGAGAAGACAAGTGAAATCGTGTATCCTGTTTATCAAAGCTTCTCATAACCTTGGTTAGCCGAGAAACTTGGAAAGTATCGCTTGCTCTACGTTTGGAAAGATTGGAGACGCAGGCGTATTTCGTTGGCTATGTATGTGGGTTGGTGTGGGTGCGTGTTCGGATACGTGTGAGTGTATGCGTGTGTGTATGTTAGTTATTCTGTGTATTTTTCTTTGATTTTGTTGTTGTTGTTGTGGTTGTTGGTATTACGTTGTTTTTTTCAGCTATAGGACTAATGATGGAGAAAACACTGTGTCGAAATCAGGCACTCACATACACCAACATTTGAAAACAGTGTCAACAGTTAATGTGAGAGCACTGTATGGTGTGTGGTAAAGTGTAAAGTACTCTGTCGACAACAAACGCCAAAATTTGTACAAACCAAACTTAGACCACAAAGGAGATTGGACATATTTCATATTGAAGAGAATGTATAAAACATTGTATTCATATAGTATTCAAACTGTAGAATACGATTCGAAACAATATGGCCACAGAGAGGGCAACAGGCATGAACAATCAAGGAGCTCCCTGAACCTCCTACGTACAATGTTTAAAGTCTAATCAGCGTTTGTCACAATGCGTGATACAGTGTTAGAAAATGTTGTCAAAGAGAGAGATGAAACAAATGTTAACGCCTTTTTTTTCTTCCTTCTTCACGGTATGACAACCGAAACACTTTGGAACATTGTCGATCAACGACAATTTCTGAACACTCTTGCTCACGAAAATTTAAACAATGTGGAATACTATGTTATTGACCTAACTATAAAAGAACCATGCTTGCGTATTTATCGGATCTCGCGTCAGATTTCAAACCCTTCATAAAAACCCTCCCCATAATTCCATGCCCACACTAACATCCTGATCGTCTCAAACAACATGAAACTATATACGTGTCCTTACCTTAAAAAAAAAACTTAGTGCCAAAACATTAGTGAAAACATATGGAAGAGCGTGAACAGCGTAACATGCGTTAGCACTTTGTAAATATGGACTAAATCCTCACTGTGACCACATTTGCCACAATGTATATACTTACTTACCACAGTGCTTCATACATTGTAACAAAATGTATTAGAGTCGAATGCATTTTCCAAACTTGTTATACAACGGGAAAGCTTATGTGATAATGCACTGTGCTCTCTGTGTGCAGCTTTCCATGTATATAGGGTTTCTTCTTTGTGGCCAGATTAAGCAATATCGTTATTCGGTTTAATCAGATATATCAGCTGCCTTTTTTTTAGATTTTAATGAAGAATGTTTATCTGAATATGTAGCGAGCTTGATGAACGATATATGTGTTTCCTCTCACTTTTATTTCTTCAGTATTACCCAAAAAGGGATTTTCTTGGGTGCTTTGTCAAAAATAATTGTTTTCATGGAATTGTTCTGAGCCTCGTTCTCACCATGCATTATCATGGCAGACTCATACTGCCCCGCAAAATGCAATGTATCACTAAAATGCTTGGGTACAATAATGAGAGTCAGTGGCGTAATTACAAGGGACGCAGAGAGAAGGGGCGGAGGGGGCATGAAATAGATTCCCTCCTAGACGCTCCCCTTTTCGGTGGCCTTGTTAACTCACATTACGTCCTCCAAGTTAGATCGATGCCCCTTCCCCCACCCTCCTTAATTCCAGCGCCTCATTTACTTTACCCTCGCTACACCATGGGGAATGCATAGGAAAGCCTCATTTGATGTCAACTACGGAATCGAGGGAATTCTCTGTTTAAGATAACGTAATTGATGACGGTGTTTCGTTACGCTTATTGCTTCCCTCCTAATCCCAATAAATACCACGCCCGTCGAGGTTGAAATGCATGTTTTCTTCGATTTTATTAGTAAAGGCAAGACATCGAGTAAGGGTGGTCTGAGGACACGGGTTCGGGTAGCAAGTCTCTCCATCAGCCGAAGGATCCAATGCAGTTCATTCACAGAAATTGCTAATTCTCAAGTGATATGCGGTACATAATAAAGCAGAATCCGGTCGGGGGCAGTGTTACCGATCGTCAAACACTATATGTGATGAGTGGATTATCCTTTAAAGGGTGTATTCACTGTGATACCCTTCACCAAAGAAATGAAGTCATTGGTGGTCACAGAGAAGAAATGTGACCTTCTCTGTAACGAGGGTCGAGTTGTGTAAAGTCGATTTTCGTAACGATCGGACGAGTCTTAAACATCGGGTCATTGATTGTGATAGTACATGTTCGTTGATAGTTACTATCAAACTATAATATTACACGCTAAAAGAAATGCATGGGCTCCATGGTGTTTCTTATTTTCTTACTTTGATTCGCTTTTATCGATTTCTATTCGTCAGGTTCATTTGCTACCTGGAATATACCTTCACGTGTTTGTCGTTAAAACCCCTCTAACGTGTTGGGAGCCCCACACATTTGATGGCAAAATTAACTTAAATTGTATCAAAATATTTGTTTAAAGAATGGCATTTAAGACACATTTCTGCAAGGATTTACAAAACAAATGTGTTTGAAGTCGAATAATACAAATTTCAGGTTTTCTGCGTACGACAGAAAATCCAAATTATCTATAACGTGATCAATATTTGTCTTCAAACAATTTTTTTTTTCTTTTTTTTTGGGGGGGGGGGGAATCTTTGCAGACGTGTGTATTAAATGACACCCCTTCCACATTATGATACAATTCAAGTGAAATGTTGCCATAATGTTTTGGCTCCCAACACTTATGAGGGGCTTTAAAGATAAAGTTGAGTTCTGGTCATGCGATTGCATTGTGAAAGAAACGGTGTGGAATCGATCAGAAAAAGTTGATCATCTAGCTTATAAGTATTGGTGTGTACTGCAAGGTTTTGGAATCATCAAAATGATAACACATTTGGCCTTGTATTGGTAAATTTACAAGCACTGTACCGAAAAGATGTATACGGGACTACACGAACATGTGGCATAAAAATCCGTCCCGATTTGTATGATGTTACATGCCATATTTAGAATATTAAGGCATTTGAAGAGCCACGCTTTACAGGGAACATTTTCTGATGTTCTTCCACACTTGCATAATAACAATGATAACGCTCCCAAATTATGTTTCACCTCTTCCCAGAACTCAACCTTCTCTTTAAAGCTGGTAATACGCTTATTCATTATCATTAACGTCCGCGAAAGAATATATTTGCAATGTCCTTAAAATGCTTCTAGGAAGATTATGTTGCAGTTTGCGTTATGAATGATGGATCAATATTTTTCTGGAGCAAGTATGCATTAGAATAAGCAACATTTCCATAGAAATGTTCAGAACTAATGTTAGCACAACCAAGAGAAAAATTGTTCTTGAAAATAGCAGCACGCTGATCCGATTATGAGACTTATTCTACATGCACAGACTCTAATTTGAAATATAGACATGTTTTACATAAAATCTTGAACATAGCCTAACTCCATTAGTCCCTGTCCGTGACAGATGGTCTGGATCATCTACAGTGCAGGGCCTATGGACTTTGGTCTCTATCTAGTCTCCTAGCTCAGACACTCGGATAATCATTACAACTGCCAATGGTTTGTGCCAGAAAACTACATGTCACATGAGGCTCGTGGTGCGTAGGCATTGTTTCAGCAACATGGCGCCAAAAAGGATAAACTTACCCCGATGACTCTTTGAACGATCGCACTATTGCCCATGGGACCACCACAAATGCAGGGCAACCTGAAAAAAAACATCAGAAATAGAGTCACCAAATTAATCAATGTTATGAAAAGAGATACAAGAAATGCAGTTTATCAAAATGTTTTAGAAGGTTATCACATAAGCAGCTTTTCCATCATTGTTGTTTTTGCTTGTTTGGTGTTGTGTTTTTACTGCTTGCCAAAAGTATTAGAACGCTTCAAGATTGCAAGGTCATGAAGTTAGCGGGTTATTGATGATGAGTATTCAATATGGAAAAAGGGTTAAAATGCCTGTTGCACACGAGGCGTCAAATTCCGCTCCAGTCGTATGAGGGAAACATCGCACAAAATGATAGTGATTGAAAAGTACAAGAATTGCGTTGAGTATGAGTATTACATATGAAAAGGGGTAAGAATGCCCGTTGCACACGAGGCGTCAAGCCGCGTTATTTACCTGACGCAAGACTGCGTCAAATATCGCTCAAGTCGTCAGAGGGTAACATCGCACAAAATGATTGTGTTTGAAAAGTACAGGAATTGCATCGAGTATGATAATTGCATATGGAAAAGGGTTTGAATGCCCGTTGCACATCATTTACCTGACGCAAGATTGCGTCGAATACCGCTCCAGTCGTATGAGGGTAACATCGCACAAAATTATGGCGATTGAACTGTACAAAAATTGCGTCGAATTATTGGCGTACATAATTGACAAGCGCAGGATAAGACGCGATCAAAAAGACGCAACAAGAAACCCAATCTTCCGACATTACAGACATTTAAGAGAACGCCTGCTTGGCTTAAAGGGATCCGGTAATTTTGTCTTAGATCCTCGCCTGTCTGATTATCAAGATATTTATGATTGAAAATCGAAATCAAATTTTGCGTTTGCCAAACGGTTTTCATAACACTACAGTCTATTGGGTAAAATGAGTATGGTAAAACCGGTCACTCAATGTTTTTACTTTGTTGAGGCACTTCTTGATCAATTTGAAGCGCAATTTTTGTAGGGCTTCAATATAACACCATATCACAGACACCGATAAAACGTAGGGCCGTGCATCTCAGATTTAACATTGTTAAACGATCCCTTTAAGGCCTACTATGAACCTGTAAGAGACAAAAAAAATGTGACCAGGATGGTGGTAGACATTTTGTAGAAGAACGAGCATTCTAAGATCCGACCCCCCCCCCCCCCCCAATCGCCTCACCTGAATAGTTCACTCACCATCCGCTCTGAATACTGATGATGATGGATGCGATGTTAAAAATAGTGGGATGAACTAGAATTAGCATGCCCCCAACCCAACATAGTGATGCGGCTACGCGAACGACGCAGCCTACTTAATCAATGTGTCTACATTATACAATGTTGAATTTTTGAACCATTTGAACTATTTATTTTGAACCATACGCTGCCGACATCGTAATAATGTTCGAAAACCAATGATTCTGTCAAGTTGATAGCCCTCTTTGTCTGATTAGCCCGAGCTAATCAGACCAAAAAGGGAAACTAATGTGTCAAGTGTCGATTTCTATTTATTAATGGTTATTCTTGGAATCTTGGTAACAGAATCAAATTGAATTCAATATTAAGTGAACCTTCGTCCAAAAACCTAAATACTCTATTTAATAAGGTTTTAAAGCTTCATTTAACCAACTGCTTTAAAAAATGTCTTCTCTAAAAGAGTCGTTTGCCTATTATTACGTTGATTATGTTCCTATGTCTGTACCACAGTTCCAGATCGCTTTCTGAGACTCGCGGCGGCGTACATGAAGATAACAAAAGGGTAATAAAAGAACTTGCGATTCCCTTACCCGGTGCCTTCTCTATCCTGATGGATAAAATTCCACTTTCAGCATAGTCCATTGTAGGCATTCAATAAGAGATTGTAGCATCATATTCGAAAAAAGACAATTTTAAGGGCTTTCTTATAAATTCAAAATGGAAGATATTGGATGCTGTCGATAAACCTATCCTCGGGCAATGCAACGTCAGTCAGGATTTACAAGCGATTTAGAATTCCTGATTTTCATTTTGGAATTGAATTTCTCTGCATTCCCGTAAAACTCTGTTATTCTGCAGCCCTTTTTCTTCACTCATCCTCATTATTAATGGATAAGTATTTTTACATTGCACGGACATGGTTTGCGACGCTAGGAGTTGAACGCCAAGAGGTCTTTATCGCACAATGCGATGGTTACAGATCCCTTCCCGGGCGATGTTTATCACTTTTTAGCCACCGCAGTGGCGCCCCTGGTTTTGGAAAGACGTACGGTGTACTGAAAGCGATGACTTATAAAGGAAATTCCCATGATACTCTCGCAGGAGGAGATTGATGAGAAAATAAGGAGGGGTAAGCGGACAATACAGATTAATGAGCACGTCTCCTCTTAGTTAATGTATAAGAACTGGCAGGATGCGATAGCAAAGGGAAACGCCGTTAAATCAAGAACAGTAAATAATGTAGATCGTCATGGGAAGGAAGAGAATGAGGACATTTTAAAACGTACTGGCGAACTTTAAAGGTACTATGTGCCATTTGTAACCAACATCAAATTATGTAGAACTTTTCAGGAATTGTTAATATGTCACGTATGTCCTATCTGTTAAAATTTTTACGTTAGCAGTGTCCTATTATTCAAATTATGCAAGGAAACCCGTATACTTTCTAGACTTCACTGTCAGACACTATTGAGTGACGTACTGACTTCTTTTGTTTTCTTTGGTAATAACATACATAAAATGAGCTGTAAAGGTACATGATCATGTGTCTTCATCAATAACCCACTTCTTGTAATGGCCCCCCAAAAAAACTGATTGAATCTTTGCGCAGCACAAGACGCCTTACGCCTTAGGGTCTGAAAATCAGACTATTACTTATTTGATTGCAATCACCGAAGTCGATCTAACAACTAATGCTGGTTATTTTCTCACTAAAATACATTTTCAAGCCCTTTCGTTTTGTGGGAAGTTCTAAATTAGTAGTATCTTTCAAATGCCGTTGAAATTTAACCTTTTTCATTTATTTGGCTACCAAATGGAACATAGTACCTTTAAACGACATCGACATGAGTTTAAAAAATCAAATCAACTAGACATCCGGTGCAATCGTCATTCTGAAGTCGGTGACATAAATCTATCGAAAGGATTTGAAGTTTTTAAATGACAAAGTCCTAAGTCCTGTCTCTTTAACCCCCCCCCCCCCCCCCTCTTTCTCTTTCGCCTTCATCTTTCTCTCCCTTTCTCTCTCTCTCTCTCTCTCTTTCTCTCTTTCTCTATATATCTATATCTATCTCTCTCTCTCTCTCTCTCTCTCTCCCTCACTGTTTGCCACTGTCCTATTCTCTCATTTTCTCTCACATCTCTATTTATTTATCTTTCCTTCTTTCTCCCAATCCCTACCCCTGCCTTTATATTTGTCTACCTCGGACTCCCAATCTCCCTCCATCTCTCTCTCTCTCTCTCTCTCTCTCTCTCTCTCTTCATCTATTTTTCTTCCCGTCTCTCCTCCCTTTTCCTTTTCTCCCACCTGTCTCTTTCTGTCTATGCATCTATTTTGTTTCTTTGTATTTTCCTATCAATGTTTTTATCTATATGTCAATATATCTATAGATCTATTTTCAAGTTCCTCTGTCATGTGTTTTTACTCATTCCCTTCCTGTCTCTGTCTCTTTAAGTCTGCATCTCTCTTCTACGTCTCCTGGGCTTCTTAAATATTGACATTCATGTATCTATAACACTCACATGGCCGACTTAAACCATGTCTCGCAGAACATTTTCTAAGACTAAGTCCCATGAGCAAATGAAATGAATGATTTCGGAATGAAGTACTCAAAATCGCATCACAAATATAACTAATCCTATGCAGACAATGCACTGATAAAAAACATGCAGACATGATGTCTGACGAATAGTCATTGTCAATGCCCCGTACATACACGCAAGACTCTTAAGCTACGTTTTCATTTCACTCTCGGTTCGGAAAAACAGTGAATAAATACGTCTGAATATGTGACATTGCGTCATAACAAGGCTTTCCCATGGCACATCTCCAATCGCACTGCATTACCATGACGCATTGTGAAGAAGGTAAAGATTTATAATGTTGCTTGAATTGAAAATTCTTTACTAACAAAAATATATCAACCATGAGGCATAGCAAGACAAATGCTAACCCTCAATCAAAATGACAATAAAGGCTCTATACGGAGCATCTTTACTGTGAGTTAACGAATAAAACAATCAATCATTAACAAAATTGAAGACATTTTATTTTTACTTGCAAAATATGGTAATCAATTGTGATTCAAAAGTCGAATCATGTATAATTCCATTATAATAGCATATCGTTGAGCTATTACAGATAGGTTTTAGCAGTCTTTTAGCATAGGTATGAAATAAGAAGTCAACTCATATGGTCGGCACTCAATGCCATAAACTTCCATGCATTTGACATCGATGATTTTTGGCATAACATGTTTGCCATAAAACTCACCCCATCCAAGCGCGATGTATCTGTAGATAGACTTCTCTGAAAATACTGCCAGTGTGATTAATGAGTGGAGATAGACGCCCTCTACCAGCAGCCAGTAAAAATTTGCCACCAGAAAGTACTGGATCAGGGTAAAGGCTACCTTGCATCCCGGATTCTAGAAATTGAAGGGGGGAAATCGTTCACGGTTAGTCTTGTTCGTATGCATGATGGAACAGCTAGAAATGTACAGGAAAGTGTTGGACTGTTGTCATTCTTTCGACAACTAGAGTTCTGAAAAGAACTGTTATGGGAAGGAAGAATGCCAACGTTTTGGCAATGTAATGAAAGGAGGAGTAGATTTACAGTAAATGAAACCTTTTGGAGTTGAGTATTAACGGAAAACTTTATGACCTTTTGGGTAAATCAATGTGAAGCCTTTAAGGCGATCGCAGATACCGTATATCGAGAAATCGACATACGGGCAATTTCATTAGCCTTTTCCGTCACATGTAAATATTTTTGAACATTAAGGATAAAGTTGAGTTCTGGTCAGGCGATTGCATTGTGAAAGAAACGGTGTGGAATCGATCAGAAAAGGTAGATCATCTAACATATACGTATTGGTGTGTACTGCAAGGTTCTGGAATCATCAACATGATGAGAAATTTGGCCCAGTCTTGGTAGAGTTACAAGCGCTGTACACAAAAAGATGTATATGGGACTAGACGAACATGTGGCATAAAAATCCGTCCCGATGTTTTACATGCCATATTTAGAATATTAAGGCATTTGAAGAGCCATGCTTTTCAGGGAATATTTTTTAACTGATGTCCTTCCACACTTGCATAATACAAATGATAACGCTCACAATTTATTTTTCACCTCTCCCCAGAACTCAACCTTCTCTTTAATTATGACCTATTGCGTAATCCGAACGTGATTTATGTTGGGTTAACAATAGGGTCTTGAAATTGGCCTTGTGTTGGTTCTTCAAGAGTCTTAGCAATCGTGTTACAAAAAAAGACAAATCACCGTTCGTCAGGAACAGATTACAATAGATGGCTAGTCAATATATATGATAAACCATCCCCTTTGGCGGCTTTAGCTATAAAGTATTCTATAAACATTGTTACTTTTGATAATTATTGAGCTTAAAGTTAAGTTTCTTTATACAATTTATCTTCTCTTTATCAGGGAAAGGGCAATCAGCAGAGAATCGAGTTTCAAAGTATTCCATTCGATTAAAGTAACGTATATTTTCTTCCATTACTTATTTTTGTAATGACAAAATGTCAAAGTAATAAATTCATGCGCTAAGACATTAGTAATTTGAAGAGCATATAAACACAATGAAGGCGTAAGTTCCCATTAGGCCGGGTCTGCCTGTATAAAACAAGACAATGTAATTACAAAAGTTTAAGAGATTCGGATTAGACGAAGGAAGTGAAAGAAGGGGAATGAAAGGGGAAAAGAATTTATAGTAAAGAGGTTAGAAATGAACTGCAACAATTGAGATCATAGCGTGAAATGGCAAGATTTGAGCGAAGAGCACAAAGTACAATCAAACCTGCTTTTATAGTGACCACCTGTCTACAACGACCACCTCTTTGGTTTCCCTTGAAAATGGTTTCTCATTGAAACATGTACTAAAGGAACCTATCAACAAAGACCAATTTTCGTGTTTCCTTTGGGCGGTCGCTATAGACAGGTTTGACTGTATTATGATATACTGCTACTTGAATCTCACCCCTCTATCTACTGGTAGCGAGTCGTTCCCGGAATCGGCTCGGAGCTCGGCCTGGAGTTCGGACTTGAGCAAGCCAGCTTCGTTCTGGGCCTGAATGATGTCCCGGATGAAGACAAAGATGGCACGGAGAATGAACGACATGAAGAGATGCATGTGGATCATGTTACGTGTGCACCTTAGCTTCCTGAAAGAAAGAACAAAAAGAAGGAAGTAAGTATACTGTAATGCTCGTTGCACGCGTCTCTCTATTTAAGAACGTGCAGGAGAAAGTCTTCCATCGTTTGCAGCTGTTGTGGAACTGGGCCCCGTTTCATGAAACTTGATATCAATAACAAGTTACAGGTTACTGTTATAAGCTACTGAAATCATGGCATGTGATTGGCTAAGAGCAAATTTGTCATATAAATTTAGCATTTGTTATAGATAAAACGTTTTATGAAACGGGCCCCTGGTTTCCTACTAATGTGAAGAGTGCTTCATTTGTTCACTACCCCATTCACAGTGGTTTTGAAATTTGTAGCGGCGTTGTAGCGGAGCGGCGACACCGCCATAAAGGCCCGGTCACACAGCCTTTCGCGTCTGTATCGCGGGTAAAATTTCGCAATTTTTTTTTGCCCGCGGTTGCCCGTGGTGGAAAAATGTGCAAAATTGGCTTACCCGCGGTTTACCCGTGGTATGCCCGCGGAACAGACGCCGGCGACTGTTCCGCGTCCTTATCGCGGGTAAAGCGCGGCGGTACCGCGGCCTACCACGCTTACACGCGGTACACACGCTAATGCACGTGATAACAACGCGGTACAGACGCGGAACAAACGTGCTATGACCGTGCTCCACCCGCGATTACCCGCTAAAATTTCGCGTCCAATTCCGCGTGTAACCACGTCTTAACCGCGGCCGTAGCACGTCCTAGCACGTTCGTTCCACATCTGTACCGCGTCTTTACCGCGTGTGTTCCACGTGTACCGCCCGCGATTACCCGCGGTCTAAATTTTTGGGCAGCCCAAAACTTTTTCGCGCGGCCAACCGCGTGTGAATTTCTTACCGCGTGTAACGACGGGTAAAGTACGGCTGTATCGCGTCTTTATCGCGACCTCAAAGCGTCCAACAGCGTCTGCTTCACGGGCAGAAATTTTTGGCCGTGATTCGGCCGCGATACGCCCGTGGAGGGCTGTGTGACCGGGCCTTAACACCGCTACAAATGCATTCACAGTAGAAAAGTTATCCCGCTGCAGCAGCGGGATAAATATCATGTACCCATTCACGCTGCAGCGGGTGATTTTTATTACCTCCGTAACAAACACGTGTATGCATGGCTCATGACCCGCGAGTGACCCCGATATGACCGGAAATACTTCAGCGCGGGGTTTTCGATTGCTTGAAATTGCGCGCGCTAGCTGTACTTTACACACTATCATATTACTTTTTAAAAAAACTAGCATTTTTATTGCTTCCAGTCAGAATGTTTTAATTTTTTGAAGTGTGAAATATTTTTATTTGGATAATTATAATATCTACATAATAATAAAATCAATTTGAATCCACTGGTTACTTTATTTCTATTTCACTTTATGTTCCCCATTGCTGGAGAACAGAGGTCAGTGATAGGTAAGTAAACAAATCACACGTGTTTGTCGCGGTGTTATAGCGGCGAGCCTTCACACTGAGTAAACACCGCGACAGCAGCGGGACTGTCCCGCTGCTGTAGCTAGGCGAACCTAGCGATAGTTTGTCGCGGCGTTATCGCGAGGCGGTGTTATCCCGCGATAGTTTATAACGGGTCCGAGCCTTCACACTGAAGACAACACCGCGACAGCAGCGGGACAGTCTCGCTGCTGTCGCGGTGTTTGAGGCCACTGTGAATGGGGTAATATTGAAGGAAATTCGGAATTCCCAATTAGTTTGTTAACAAACACTGGATTGTATTGACTCACCAGCTTGTATTAAAGTAAAAATGTTATCACTAAAGTAGCCCAAATGCGTGGAGCAATGTGTGCAGCGCATTGTAACCGCACTGAGGGGAGCGTTTTATCAAATAACTATGGAATCGGCTTGGATGCGTCATTTCAATGGCGTTCTTCACTAATCAAGCCTGTCAAGGTAAATTGTCTACTCGTCAGTATTTCAAGGCAATCATTTACACTGTTCATTTTGCATTAAAGGGAGTGTGTCATGACGAGACTATGTGTCTTTCCCGTGGGCCTACTCGGGGCCAATCAGGTACGACTACGGACGACGCGACCGCAGCATTCATGTGCGTGCAACAACTGCGAAACCGAAGCGTGAGGAGAACTTCGGTCTGTTTCGCGAATGCTTCCGCGCGCTGACCCAGTTTAGCGCGCGCTGACCCAGTTAATCAAGTCCATTCGTTTACGTGCAGTTGTCTAAAAGAAAATGTAGATGACGTTAACCAGTATTTGCCATGATACACTCCCTTTAACAGTTTGTACTATATCAATCTCACTTGGTGCGTCAGAGATCGCACCAGTCACTGACGCATTACTGCGTCAGACAAATGAATCTTCGTTTGGAACAGGCTTAATGATGCTCCAGTAGCAATGGCGTAGGTATCCAGAAATTGAAAACATAAAGTGGTAGAGAATCCTTCCCTGGGGGGTGTTTCACAGAGATCCCAAGTCGAACTTAACTCTAAGTTGGACTTAAAGATTATGGAGAGCCATTTGTAGCCTTAAAATCAAATATATTTAAAAGCGAACATTCAAGAATTTTAGATTTTTTATAAATTCCACATCGAGAACATGAAATCCCTGTTGGTAAAAGAAACTATTAATGATTTGAATCAACATGCTATGCTTTTTTAAATAACTTTGACAAAATATTCTCATAGATGCCAACGGCTTTCCATAATTATTGTTAAGTCCAACTTAGAGATAAGGTCAACCTAGGATCTTTGTGAAACACCCCCAGATGGAGGTGGGGGTTGATTGTATCTGGGCGGCCCAAGCTGCTTTATATCTCATGTAAGCTATAGTGATTTTTGTGTTAACCTTAAAACAGGAGGGGGGTCTCCCACAGGGTGACGCTTTGCTGATAACGCCTCTAGTCTTTGTGCAATTAGTGGAATAGGTGGAAACTTATTGTGAGATGGGTTATTAGTAGATTACTGTCAAAGTATCACAGTTTAGTTTTCATAAGTTTCGTCTGTATTGTTCTTGCTTTTAGCGATGGAAATTCGTGATGGATACATGAATACATGAATAGACCAAATAAAGTCATGTAATATGTATCTGTTAGAAATGACAAATTGTATACTAATTGTAGGTATAATACCGTATTATGTGTTTACGTACAGTGAATCATGGTATATACTTCCAGTACCATGATGTAAATATAAATTATTCGCGAATTTAAGGCAATTTAGCTCCAGACAAAGCTGTAACAAAACTCGAACGGTAAGTTCGACAAGCAATTTTTTACTTTTTTTCTTTTTTCAGAGTACATTTCAGACGTCATGTAAAACCTTTAAAATGATATGATCGGATTTGTCATCAACACCCATTATGACGTCAGCAAGGCTTTCTGCAATAATGAATCAAAACATTGTCCCATGCCGTTATGCAAAGAGTTGCTTAGTATCGAGGGAAGTGAACATGTCCGTAAACAAAGACATGTTTTACAGATTGACTAATGGTCTACATGGGCTATGCCATTCCAATTACTCGAACGAAAAGGCCTAAAATAAGGGGTTAGCGTTTTCTCGTCATGACCGGGAACACGACATACATCAGTGCCACCTAGTGAACAAGAGTTCTGTGAAATCATTAGCATGATCAAGGCGCCCTTTCCATTTAACAAAATGTTTTGTAGCTGACAGTAGAGAAATAATGGATGCATTCTAGCTATGTTTTTGCTTAAATTACACCTAGTGTTTTTGAAGGGAAGTGCGGCCATGGAGCGTGACATTTGCATCTTATACATGTTATAGTTTTTGAAACTTCACCGAGAGCGTCTTTATGCACAACGGTAAATCCTACCCTACGTTAACATTAATTAAGGTAAACTTTTAACGCAAGATATTCTCGGGGAAGCTTACCTCGCCAAAAGGGCATTTGGCTTGTATTCATAAAAACATACAAACTTTAGTGTAGGTTCAAGCGGTTATATCGTGTCCACTGGCCTATGACATGTTCAAAACGCTTATTGTGAAACTCTTCATTCCGTTGAAAAATTATCATATTTCTCTCAATAAATCAGCAAGTGAATATAACATCATTTCGGAAACAAATTAATGGCGGGATTAGTTTCGTTTATTTGATCTGTGACAGGGGCACAGAATTTCGTACAAAATGAAACAATTTTTTTTTATAAAACAAGGTTTAGTAAATCCACCTGTTTGGACTTGACTCATTGGTATAAAAAAGAATGGTAGCAAAAGAAGTCTCATTATTTTTAGCATGTAAATATTAAATAACTCATGATAGCTATGATGAAAGTTTAGCACAGTCTTTCACACCACCAAACCAACTCGAGACCAACCCCAAACCGACAAACTCTTCACCATGTGGGGTAATGTAAAGTTATGTTCGGTCTCCATCCGGTCGTAATCGGTCTCATATTAAGCGTGACTGAGGTATACACGCTCCTTGTACCAATCGATGCTTTCTTCTTCTTCTTATACAACCTATGGAATATTGTCCGTCTTTTAGAAGTGACACATCACCTCTCTGCTGTCGTCCGGTCGCCCTGTATCAACAGGCTAGAGATCTAAAGTGTTGCTGTAGGCGTACCCAATTCATCGACCTTTCAATCTTCCTATAACCATGCCAATGCTCTTGAACTTTATGCATCATGGCTGTATGTAACTTCTCCCCTCGCCTCAATTCCAATCAATTCATATTATTTTTAGCTGACCACTTAAAAACCTATTGGCGAAATGTGGGTTGTATGCAGGGGGGATTGGAGGGGCGGGGCTAGATATTTGAAAAATGCGCAAAAGTCTACCATTTGCCTATGTAGCCTTCTATCTGTAGCGATTTCCCCCGCTCAAAAAATAGATAGCAAGACGTTTCTAATCTGACGAAAGAGTTGTTTCGTGTAGCAATACGCAATGTTGAGGTGTAAACGAACTTTATATTCTGTGTTCCTTTTTTAACGTAACCCCCGTCATATATCTTTACCTATTTTTCATTCCTAAGAATAGGGTGTCTTACTTTGTTAAGTTCAAGACACTTGAATCCAAATATCAAGACGTTTAACCACACCATTCACTGTTGTGTAGTATGCCCTCCCCACACACGCATGCACACGCACACACGCACACACACATCCACACTCACACCCGTCCTATAAGGAACGGGGAGGGACGAGAGAAAAAAATAAGCCTAGCGGGAAAATATATATGAAATGTTAAAACGTTTCTAGCTGCCTTTTATCCAAATGGTGAACAAAATAACACTTTCTTCCTCAATAGCCTTCTGACATTACGTCCATTTCTATTTGTATGCATCGCATGACCTACAATTTGCAACATTCATCATTCTCAGGTATGCTTCGGTCGTATTCTTACCCGACCACTTTTACCATATTCACCGCAACTGACAAGTCTCGTGTGCTGTTATCGAAGGCCCTGGTCTTTGATTTGCTGGATTTATTCATAGGATTTAATGTATCTGGGGTATCGGAGCCGGATTGTAAACGAGCTCATTAAAATTTAATTTTCCACGAATATGTTCCATGTAGCTTTCTGTTAAGATTTTACCAACATGTCACAAACCAAACTTATGTATTATCCATAGGCTAGTTGCCCTTCTTCTAAATTATGCTTTCATTATCTTAACAATAAAAGGTCTGTTTAAAGCATTGGACAAGTGAATTGGATATTTTGTTTAACAAAACAATTTGTAATGCCTGCTTTCCAAAGCTTATTTACTTTGTGTAATGTTCTTGCTTTTAGAGCTACTGAAAATGAGTATATTACTGCAAACGAAAGAAGGAAAAAAAAGATAAATCAATTTGATGAAACACAAATGTTACCTTGTCCTATCACCATTCGTGTGACGAAACTTTCGTCATTGAGTGCGCGGTTTTGTAAAAGCGAGCAATGCCCTCTAACATAGAACATAAATGATTACGAGCGAAAATCTTACTTCTGATGAAAGTTATATCACTGCTTGTTTACTGCGGGGAGTTGAGAGCTGTCTGTAGTTGTAGATCGTTAAATAGAGTATTAAGTGTGGTACTCTCACCACTGAAGACTCGCAGCCACAGTGGAAGTAATGCCAGTAATTACAGTTTATTCGTTATATTGAGATGAATGTATGTAACCGGTGAACTTTTTGGAGTAACCGAGTTCAATATCCTGGACTTGCCATACAGTCTTAACACTTATCCTTCTTACCCCTCTCGATATCAGAGATTTACCTAATAATGGGCTGTTTGCACTGGGGTGTCAACCAATTGGGAGGCGGAGACGAAGGTGCCCCCAGTAAAAAAAAAAGTGGTCTTACTCGGTGAGTGGCAAATGCAATTACATGTCCTCCGGCGATTGAGGGGAGGGTGCGGAAGGGTTTCTACAACTTTTTGTTCACTCTCCTATTCCATTTCTTCTTCTTCTTCTTCTTCTTTCTCTCTCTCATTTTTTCTTCCACGTTTCCCCTCCTTGGTTTGCTTCGGGGTACTTTCTTTTCCTTTCTTTTCTCTCCTTCCCCTTTTTCTTTTTTCTCTTTCTTTCTTCTCTTCTCTTTCCTTTTTTCCTTTCTTTTCCTTTCTTTTCCTTTTCTTTGTTTCTTCTCTTTCATTTTTTCCTCCCCCCTCCACATCCCTTAGCGACGCCCCTGTCCCCACAATCACTTCACCTAGTTAGACTGGAGCCAATCCCCACCCTACGCCGTTCATGTGCATGTCTTATTTGTATCTATGTCTGAACTCGGACAAACCAAAAACAACATCCACGTTGATACTAACTGACTTCAGCAAAGCGTTCGATCGCATCGATCAAAACATAGCTGTAAAAAAGCTTTTGTCTCTCAATGTGAACCTATCTCTTGTCTTGTGGATATCAGACTTTCTGATGGGTAGACGTCAGTGTGTGAGGTACAACACAGCCATATCTGAATGGACTGAAATCTCTGCCGGTGTTCCCCAAGGCACAAAACTCGGCCCAAATGTGTTTTTAGCCATCATCAATGATGCTTCCTTAGACATTGTCGATCCCATTAGGAGGTACAAATATGTGGATGACCTCACTCTCCTGGAGTGTCGTGATCAAAGGAAGGACTCCAACATCCAAGCAGCCGTAACATCTTTGAGAGATTGGTCACTACGCAATCAAATGAGACTTAACCCCCAGAAATTTATATCTATGGAAGTGTGCTTCATGAGATATGCGCCTCCCCCTTTAACTGTTGTCCTTGGAGATGGAGTGATAGCGCAACAGCAGAGTGTAAAACTCCTTGGAGTGTTCATTCAGCAGAATCTCAAGTGGGACCAACAGGTAAATGAGATGCTGAGGAAAGCAAATGGAAAACTCCGTATGCTTCGACTACTGAAGCATCACAACGTCCCCACAAGTGATCTCCTGACCGTCTTCAACAGTTTGGTGCGCGTTCATGCTTGATTTTGGGCGCGTTCATGCTTGATTTTGACGGCCAGAATCAGGCATCTGTTACGCGTTTAGTTTAAAACACGATTGCGTTCATGCTCACTTTTGTAGAATCACCGAAAAACGGCGATCACGATCGCCGATCGTAAACTCACAAAAAGATGCGTTTACAATTTGTAAACGCGTTTAAATGGGGTCTACGCACTGACCTCTAGTGGGTCTACGTAGCATGCGCACACAGGTTTGCGAATCCAGCTGAAGGCCACCCAAGGAGAATTGCCTGGAGAAGTGAGCATGAACAGTGCACCGTGGAACTGCGATTACGATGAGCGTTTACGATGAGCGTTACAAATCGCTCATTCTGCCTTCAAAATCAAGCATGAACGCGCCCTTTGACGGCCAGAATCAGGCATCTGTTACGCGTTTAGTTTAAAACACGATTGCGTTCATGCTCACTTTTGTAGAATCACCGAAAAACGGCGATCACGATCGCCGATCGTAAACTCACAAAAAGATGCGTTTACAATTTGTAAACGCGTTTAAATGGGGTCAACGCACTGACCTCTAGTGGGTCTACGTAGCATTCGCACACAGGTTTGCGAATCTAGCTGAAGGCCACCCAAGGAGAATTGCCTGGAGAAGTGAGCATGAACAGTGCACCGTGGAACTGCGATTACGATGAGCGTTTACGATGAGCGTTACAAATCGCTCATTCTGCCTTCAAAATCAAGCATGAACGCGCCCTAAGACCAACGTTTGAATACGCCGTCCCCGTTTGAAATCCAGGGCTCACCAAGGAACACGTCCGAAAACTTGAGAACATCCAGAAAAGGGCACTGAAAATCATCCTTGGACGTGAATTCACATATTATGATGACGCTCTCACCCTGCTGAATATTTGTACCCTTGTTGATCGACGAAAACAGATCTGTCTTCAATTTGCTAAGGAACTGAACAAACCAACAGGACCCTGCCATCACCTGATGCCTCAGGCACCGGAAACTGCCTTTCAAATGAGACTATTTTTCTTCTTCCCCTTTTCTTATTCTCTTATTTTTATTCTTGTTCTTCTCCTTCTTTTTCCCCTGTTCCCTTTTCCCCTTCTTCTTCATCTTCTTCCTACACCTTTTTTTTTTTTTTACTACCACAGTATTATCATAATAACAATAATGTCAATTTTTGATGCAGTCTGAATATATGCAATATGTTTTTTAATCTATATTTCCCAATGTATTTTAAACGTTTGTACAAATGTATTTATGTCATTTTTAAAAAGGAATATTTGTAAAATCATCGCAATTCGGCTATGCCGCAATGATGTTTTTTCATTAATAAACCAGTTATCTATCTATCTATCTATCGTATCTCTGAAAACCCTGATTCAACAATTCGTCTTTTTAGAGCAAAAAAGGTGTTAATCCTGTTTTAATGTAAATGAATAATGCTCTTCTTGCTCTTGACAGACGAATTGAAAACATATGTATTTTCTCGTCATGAAATCTAAACGCTTGAATAAAATTGGAATATATATATATAATATATATACATATATTTAGAAGAAAATGTCGTTAAAGAAGTTTCTTCCGAATATAGGAACTGTAAACTGATTACTCGTGGAACGATAACCACCAGATTTCTTAAATTAAGTTTCAGGCGCTTAATGTAACACTTCTGATCTGTAACAATATCATTGTTTCTGTAACGAAACCTATCTGAACAATTGATTTTGTCCTGGAAATTGGGCTTGCGACCGATTTCGTCGACGAAGCAATTTGTCAGATCGATTACTAAAGTAAACTATTGATTCTGATACAGAATCACGAGCCTTATACGCGGTGCCCCAATTATCATTATGAACCTTTTTTTTTCACTCTCTTTTGCTTTTCATTTTCATTTTCCTAAAAATAAAACGGGATTTATGGAACACATCGTGATAATTACGCATAAAGGGGGGGGGGATTTTTCGGGGATGTTTGCAGATATTCAGAATTTGTGGATTTGACAAAGAAAAAATAATAAAATCACGAAGTAGGGTCAAATTTGCACGTTGTTAACAAACACTTGAATGCATATTTACATGTTATGCGAAAATATAGGATACTTAACGTTAATGTGTACTCGCTAAAAAACCACCGATGTGGTGTTATTATCATTAGGACCTATATGTAGAGGTCACACACACAAAGTTAGTGTAATACGGGGAAATTTTCTCCATCACAGCTCTCCATCATGCGTTAAAGCCTACTGCACACTAAATTGTCTTCCCGCGGTCCGATGTCATAAGAAATGACACTTATATTAGATATGGAAATCCAGGCTAAACACAATTTTATCTTCTTGATTAACGTTGTAAATTATGATAAGAATACTAACGGCCGGAATGTTAATGCATTTAACTTTCCAAGTTAGGATAAAAGTAGAATCGGCTTCAAATGGTAAACAATCGCACTAATGTTGTGACGTCACTATGATTTTGAGCCGATTTAGCTTTTTCTTCTCCAAAGAACCTTAACATTCCTTTAAGTTTAGAATTAACTAATCATATGACTTTACAGATCATCTGTAGACTGTTTTAACAGTTCAAATGTTCATACCAGATACTAGAGAAAATTCTTCGCAGCCCGATATTATAGTGTTTGTTCGTTCGTTTGTTTGATTGATTTTATTTCTGTGTTCAAAAAGATACAAATTCAAATTCAAAGTAAAAACATTCGAACAATAACAAAATCGATGAATAAAATGTTTACAAAAGTAATTGAATAGAAAATCATGTACAATTATATCATACGATAAACATTATATCGTACGAAGCATACAAATAAGATAAGAAACATATAGTGAATATTTTTCAATAAATTAGAAAGGTAATTTAGAACGCAGACGTGTGCTGCGGGCTTTACGAGTATGAAGTGACAACATTGGGAGCTTCGATCGGAAATTTGTTACAGTGTTTGATACAGATCCTTAGCAAATGTTAGGATGTTTCAAAATGTTGTTATTAAAAGGATACAATATTGTAAAACTTTCATTTCCTGTCAATAATCATTTGTCTTTCAAAGTTTTCGCCAATAGGCAAAATCGTCGGGGGTATTAAATGTTATTTCTGGTTCATCGACTCAAATAAATCGATTGGCAGCGTTGTTTGTTTGGTTTGTAGGCGTATTTTGTATCCCATTTCAAGCAACATTGATTAGATTTAGATAGCCACGTTTAAACCTATCAATATATAAGGCGAGCCTCAACATTCTGCTGTAAACCAAACCCCCGATAATTATTTAACTAATCTAACCGGTGGGGAAATGTTACATAGAAGGTGCCTGGAAATCGATCACGCGACCGTTCATCGTGTCTCAGATTCCTCGACGTTTTGTAAATAGATCACGTTATTATGGTGATGTTTGGAGTTCCAAGCAACATGAAATTGTTGGTATAATGTAACCTTTTCAAGTTTGGAGTGAGCATCTTGAGCCTGTCACTGTCTGATGAGATATGAACGGCACAGTTTTTTAATAATTGTAACCGAGTATGACTTGCTCTTTCACTGTAGATGATTATGAAGTGTACGCAGATGCGAAGACTTATGAAAACAGGTCTTTCCAATGCAATAACAGGAAGCAATTTAGACATTAGGTTTATTGTTCTTATCGTTTTATACGGATGAATTACATAAGCATAATACAATCTCATCTGGGAAATAAAACTTATTTTTCAAGACATATGGGACGCTCATTAGAGGGGCCATTATTTTCTTCTATATTTACCGCACGAAAAGTTCCCTCTGACATTTCTTCTTACTTATTAAGACATGTTTGTAATGTTTTTTTTTTTATATATATGTTTTTCACGCTAGGATCGCCTTTTCCTCTTTTTTCCTTTCCTGTTCTCTATAGATGACGGTTGTGGATGTGGATATGTATATGTGGGTGTGTACGTGTGGGTGTGTGTGTGTGTGTGGGAGGGCAGAATACGCAAGTGTTGATTTAATGGCGTTGGCCAACGTCTTGATATTTGGATTCAAGTGTCTTGATCTTAACAAAGACACTACAAAGGTAATGATTAAAACAGAATCTTATGTTGCTCTCACTTCTTCTTCCCCATTTCATTATCTCCCTCACATTAAGAGTGGAAAAGTCACAAGACTATGAATCACACGGTCTGGATTCACGACATTGCCACGGCACGATATTACTTTGGTACGAATGTACTTAGTACTGATTTATTACTCAATGAAGATGCATTGCCGTGAATAATGAAGGAGAAAAATGAGACCAGCTTAATTTAAAACCAAATAGATAGGCATTGCATTTTTTTTTCAACTGCACGTTTTCATTTATTAAAAACTATTAATTCAGCGTAATTTCAACCTGATCATTAGCATGATTACGTTGATGAACATCCCTCACCAATGCAGTACCCACTCTTCACTAAAAATGGCGCATGTATCGACTTTAAATACGTTGACGTTTGCATCCTACCTACGCTTGGGTATAAAGAGGCAATGTACATACCGTGCCTTACTCACACACGAGGGACGGGGTTCGAACCCGTGATCTTCGCACGTTCAGCTTAGGGTTCACCATTACGACACATTTATCAGTCTCGCATCGTTCTCACCCACTACAGCCCTCGATACCGACAGTCCATGAACACGAAAATGTAGGCCTACAAGTTTGACACCCATGAGGCAGATAACTAGACCGATCACCCACAAGACCGACAAAACATGGACAATGTCGGTGTAGTAGGGCCACAGTCCAGTATAAAAAAAATACTAGACAGACAGCCCACGATACCGACATCTTCCCTTACGTAATCCACGTATCTCTAGATCTGTGGGTTTCGTGGGCTGCCATGGGTTCTTGGTCTACTAGGATGTCCCCAATTCACACTTCGGACCCTGACGAATGTGACTGAACTATAAAAAAATGTTTGTTTTTTTTTCGTTTGAATGATCATGGCACTGTGACTGTTATGAATTATTCAAAATTTGAACAAGTGAAATACTTTTATTTAATATGCATAGGTCGTATGGAAAATGCTCTTAAAATGTACTTCGTAAAATTGTATCATCATTTCACGAGGCACCGTAGCCAACTACTTTGAGGTCCTTCTAGTTTTTTGGGGGCACGGGAATAACGCACCTCCCTAGCAGCAGGTTGGACTGGCCGTGGAGTTATCTCACCGAGGCAGCTCGATATGTAATCTGGGGGCCCTGAATGACCAGCGAATCCCAATCTGGCTGACCTTGATCAATAATTACTACTGAAGAAGAATAGCCCCCTAATGTGTCCCTTACTATGCCTTTGGTCTCAATGTTAGCCTCTAAAAACCAACTGAAAAAATACATCTCTCACGCTCAAACAAAATATGACATATGACTCATATATACAGTTGATAAATATTCAATTATACATCGAATGTAGATATGTCCTTATCAACTGTTTAAATCAAAGTGGTTGAAACAGTTTTTGATATACACAGGAGGATTTTCTCGTAGCATACAAGAAAATTGCATCAAATATGTAGAATTGTTTGTGCGTCCGCTCGGCCTTGAAACCAATTTTGAATTTTCATACAGCCAGAAAGGATCAATACCCAAACAAATTTTTAAGATCAAATTTAGAATTCAGAGAAAATCAAGCCTTCGATATGTTCTCTGAAATGAGTTTTCTGTGCTCTTACCTGAAGTAAAGGAATATTCCCATGGCAACGACGAGTGAAATTAACGAGAGAGAGTATCCAATACTGTATACAATTTGAAGAGACTGGTAGATCTTCTGTTGGCAGACAAAGGAAAAAAGGATGGAAGAAATATATGGTAAAGAAAGCTGACGCATGTGTAAAGATAGATACCATATCAACAAGTGGTTAGATTCTGATGATATTACATGAACTATTGATCGCAGAATGATATTGGAATGAGATTGAGGTTTTTTAGCGGGAAAGCCAAAAATAGAAAGGCATAATGAGCAGACAACTTGCATTTGGTCCGTGACCATTAGTCTTTCAAAGTAATGTTTTCACAGAGCCACTTCAAAGCTACCTATGGAATAGTAATGTTACTGCGATACGCCGAGAGAAAGAGAGAGAAGGGGGATGAGAAAAAAGAGAGAAAGGGAGAAATTTCAAGTCACACATCGCAAAAATTGATAACCCCTCCCTCTTTACTCGTTTTCATACTTGAACAAATTGTTGAACATTAGGTCGGCAAATGCTGAAATGAGACAAAATATCCAATGACGTTCATGGACACCGATGGGAGTTGAATAAATGATCAATGAACTTATTATTGTACGTCCTATCCGAAGGCTTACCTCATAGATGCTGTTATCTTCATCTGCAGCTCTACACATCGTGTAGTTGGTCCATGTTTCGTTGTTTTCAGCGCTATACCATATTCCATCTGCCTCACAGCTCTTGGAAGCATACACTGTTAAATAAAGACAATCACAGATTTACGATTCCTTCATTTAATAAAAATCTGTTTGGTACAAATCGGAAAAATTCAAGAGCATAATATAGTCAATGCTTAAGATCGATTTGAGAGCCGATCTCGCGAGACAAACATTTCTGACTATAAGCTGATTATGTATTACAGCGGAATTAGTGTACATTCTGAAGTTTCGAAATCATAAAAAGATAAGAAATGGCTTCCTGGAATTATACACACGTGTCGCATAAACATTTGGATCACGTATTTGTTTTCATTACTCATGTCATCTTGTCATATTTCGATCATAACCGCATTTGAAGAACTTAGTCCTTTTAGTGGACAAATCTACCACTATAATATATTTTAAAATTACATAACAAAACTCTATTTTCCCTTGAATATATCAAGTACGACGATTGAGGTGGGACGCCATAAAATGACCCTAACATAATTGTATACGACACATGTTATTGTTATTAAAAGATGAATAAAATACAGGAAAAGAAGACAGAATATGTGACGTCCTAAAAACTTCCTACGTGACTTATGTCCCACAAAAAGCAGAGAGTAAATGGGACACCTTGGCATGCAGGCGGTAATTTCTTTCGAAATATCTTTCAGCGATATTGATCTAACGATATCTATTAGCCAATCTTCTTCCCTAAAAACTCCAGGAGCGAGATACCGATATGGCAAACAATAACAAAAACAGATATTTAAATATATTATTTTTCATAAAGCCCACCAACCCATCAACAACAACAAATCTGCTTAACAACTGCACTTCAAGATCTTAGTTTGTATCCTGCCTTTTTATTAAATAATTTCGTTTTCTTTTTAAATCCATTTTACAGCTCATCAACAAATTTACCGGAACTTTTGTTAATTCTTTGAAATCATCAGTTGTGTTTTTTTACAAATGACACCGTAGCGGTCAGAATTTTGTCCCATTTATCGATCTACCAGTTCGAATACGATAGCGTTAAGCGCTCATCTGCGGGCGATAACTTTGTCTGGGGCGCGCGCACAATTTGATCAGTACTGGCTAATTGGTCACGCGGGGGATAATTACGAGACTGTCCTGGTCTGAAATTACACCTCATTAGACTTTATACCGTGCCTCGGTCACCATCACCCATCTTCCAAAAGCCACTTTCCTCTGGTTTCAGTGATCTTTCTACGGTTGGTTGGTTGGATGCTTAAAGGATCTTGCCTCCACCTACGTGGTGAAAAACATGTTTTCTTTGGTGTTGATGTATTGTGGTGTACTTTTTTAATATTTGTTTTCTTGTTCTTGTTATTGATCGATCGTTTGTTATAGCTTTTGTTTTGTTTTCAGACGTCTCCTCTTTAAAAGAATCCCGGATATGTTACAGTTAAATGTAAGAGTAATTGTATTTTTGTTTCAATCATTATAATTTATCTACTTTGATGTGTATAAATGTATTTTTATTTACTTGATTATTTATTCCTTGTTTGTTAATGTTTCTTCACGTTTTGTATATCTATTTTCTTAAGAAATAAACAGCCCAATAAATTTTTGACAAACATATATTGATTACTTTATGATCGGCTGTTGATAGTTTGCTATAATTTTTATTCTTTTGTGATTATAAGCAAATGATGATTAAAAAGTAATTGAGCAAGAAATTTGGTACATTGATTTTTAATGTCCAGGTGTCCCAAAGTACATGTATGATCCATCTTCTTCTCCTTCTTATTCTTCTTCTCCTTTTCTATTTATTCTTATCATTTTTCTCCTTCTTCTTCTTTTCATCTCCTGTTCTTCTCATTTTTCTTCTTTTTTCTTTTTCTTCATTAAATTACTCTTTATTTTGTATTATTTCTCTTTATCCTCTTTCTCTCCTTTCTTCTTCTTCTTTATCTGTATCTTCTTTTGTTTGGTTTTGCTTGTTTAACTCTGTATTATTCTTTTTTCTCCTCTTCTTCTCATAACTCTTTATTCTTTTTTTTTCCTTTTCTTTTTTCTTCATCTTCTTCTTTCCATCCCGTTGTCATTAGCCCGACTTTCTTTCAAGAAAATTAATAACTATATTTTAGATATTACATCACTTAAACATTGGTATTTATTACTTCTAAGGAAATTGTCTCTGTCATTGAACTCGAAGCTTAAGCCATTAAAAATATTTGTTATGCTATAAAAGGGGTAAAATCTATTTCTACATCTATAAAATTTGTTGCTTTCATGAGAGAATAGAATCGACTGAAATCGAAGGTATCCAGAACATCCCAAGAAAAATGGATATTTTATAATTTATAACGGGATGTGGGATTACAAATTGAGTAATATTTCATACATTTATGACTGTTATGTCTACTGACGTCTACCATAGAATAAACAAAGAGATAGTTCATGAAAAATTACAATTTTATTAGTTAAGGAACTTTACCGTCATATACCTTCCTTTGGTTACCCTTACGTTTCTATTTTGGATAACATCGTCATATTTTGTGAAAGTATCTCCGAGACAACATGTTATACAGTGCATCTCAGAAAAACCGCGAAACCCGACAACAATTGGATATTGTAAACAAACTCAGAGCTGAATAAAATATAATTCACTACTTTAGAAGTAATATAATGTAAATGGTACACTAACAACATTAATCCATGCACGCTTCACTGAGTAACATTGTTTTGAAAATGGCATGTGAAAAATCCATTTGTGCCAAAATTTGATGAAACCGTCTAAAATGTTGGTAATAGTGTGGGAAAGATTTTGTCCAAAGGGCATATAACGCACAAAATAAACAGTCAAAATATATAATTTACCGTTCAGGAAGGGCTCCATTTTCAATCAGTAGAGGGGGAATTTTCATTGCTCGAGGGACATTTATTGATTTCTCTAAAATCTGAGGTTGTTCGCCCCTGTCATCCCGGAAATGGGTACCCTCTTCTTTTTAGACATATTAACTGCTTATGTAAAAGGCATATCTTAACGCAATAAAAATCTTGCATAGGTATTATTGAACGCTAATATTTCCCTTACGTTATTTGTGCATGTGCTACAAACGTTTTCACTGTGTTAACGGAAATGGCAATAATTAATTTTGCCTGGTGAAGCATGTGTGAATTAATGCAGTCAAAGCATCATTTGAAAGTACCTGTATAACACTTCTACTTTAAAAATAGTAGGAATTTGTTTTTAAACAGCTCAAAAATTTGTTCACAATAACAATTTGTTTGGGGGTTTCGTTTTTTCTGGGACGCACTGTACATGTATAAACTGGCGTAATGTGCTTATGAAGCTGTACAAACCATCCGGGAGTTCACGGTTTAAATGACGTGCGTGTTAAGGAATTTTAGCTCTTGTTTCTATATAACAAATGCCTTAAATTTACCTAGGGTATACATACAAAGATATTGTGCCGTATTCCAGGACTCAGCAAGGTTTTTACAATGATTCTAAGCTTCATTTTGGGGTTAGATAGAAAAATTATGACAGAAGAAAAACAAAAGGATGATATCAGTATGGTTCGTAAAAGAGGGGAATCGGGAAAAAACAAGAAAAATGACAAAAGGAACTGAAAAGAAAATGGGAAGAAGAAGTTAATGTCGATGATAATCATGATGATGACGAAGTAGAAGAGGTTGATGATGACGAAGTAGAAGAGGTTGATGATGATGATGATCATGATGATGACGATGACGATGATGATGATGATTATGATGATGAAGAAGAAGAAGAAGTTGATGTTGATGATGATGAAGATGATGCAGATGGTGAATAAGAGGAAGAAGAAGAAGAAGTAGTAGTAGAAATAGAAAAAGAGGAAAGAGAAGAATGAGATAATAAGACGGTGGACAAAGATAAAGACAGATTAGAAGTCAAGAAAGAAGCAGATTAGGAACAGTAACATGAGTATCTTTTAATAAATCTCAAGTATGCGCAAAGGAGAATCATCAATTTTGGATGACTGATGGGTAATATTACTTATTCCTAAGTGAAGAGGAATGTAGTTGAATTACGCTTGACTCTTTCTTAAGACTCTCGTTACAGCAGACCAGAAAGTTTCAGCAAGAGAATTGTCGTTCATATCCTTCCAAGGGAATTTCCCCGCTTCTCTTTTCTACGTCACGACGGCAAGCATACGTAGACTCATGTGACCGCAATCATCTTCAACTTTCATCTTTCGAGAAAAAAAAATACTGTCTATACAATGCGTACACAAAATAAACACAATTTGAAAATATCCTCCAAAATTATAATTTCACGATATCTGCATGATTGTTTTCCTTATGAAATTATCAATGAGGGTCTACTAAACACGGTTGCCAATATTTTGCGCTTGAGAGAGCACTGTTCAATTTCGGAAAATTCGCGAATTGGAGCAGAATGCATATCTGGGCCCCCATCTTATAAGGAGTTGCAATTTATTCGGATCAGTCGCCAGTCCTTTTATTAATCGCAGTCTCCTATCTCTTATGCACATAGTTGCAATTCATATCGCTCGCAAATGAATTGCGAATAATCGCAATTGATTATGAGACGGGGCCTAGGCAAAAATTGCAGCAGCTATCAATAATTGATTTTGACCATCAGTTGATCTTCGGCCTTACATCTGTAGTCGCGCTCCAGTACCGCTTACCCCCACACCAATACACACACACGCACACTCGCGCGTACACGCACACGCACACAACACTGTAATTTTGTTTCATCACTGAATTTCCCTTGTTTAATCTTTCTTTTTGAGTACACAAATTGTTCAATTTTGATAAAAAGAGAGATAACGTCTAATTTCTTGACACGTATTTTAGTACCTTTGTCTGTCACATCATGATCGCCTCCTTTAATTGTTATGATATGTTGCCGTCTGAAGCATTTGAAAAGCATGCAGTGGGTGACATGTCGATCTTTCACATCCATATTTAATCGAAGAAAACAAATTATTTCCTTTGTCAGTAAGATGTTACCTTTCCTACATTTCTAATTCAACATGCAACACCTTATTTCTTGGTTGGTAAGTTGTAAAAGGTGAAGGGAGATTAAATGTGAAAGGAGAAGCTACGCCCCCCCCCCCCCCCCCTCAGTCCTCCTCCTAATTAATCAACAGCTGCGTTCATTCGTATTTCATCTGCCCCTCAATTGTCTGGAACCACTCTATGCCACTATCTAAAGCAATATGCTTGCCTGGGGCCGAATGATCCTCCTCAATCTTTAGAAAGAAAGGTAATGATTTTTATTTTGTTTATTGTGATACTTTTTATTATTTATCCACCGAGTAATGAATGGACCCCAGTCATACGCTTGTTTAAATCCCAATGATACCCCTCAATCTCCCGAGGAAAAGACAACCAATACAAAACCTTTGATAGTGATGTATCAAGACGCCTTAGTAATGATCAATCCGCACTGCCAGTAATAGCTTTCATGAAAAAGGTTTGAGGCCTCTCTGTGATCGGGTAACTCAGTAAATGCTCGACTTTAAAGATAAAGTTGAGTTCTGGTCATACAATTGCCTTGTGAAAGAAACGGTGTGGAATCGATCAGAAAAGGTTGATCATCTAGCATATAGGTATTGGTGTGTACTGCAAGGTTCTGGAATCATCAAAATGATAAGACATTTGGCCCAGTCTTGGTAAAGTTACAAGCACTGTACAAAGAAAGATGTATATGGGGGCTACATGAACATGTGGCATAAAAAATACGTCCCGATTGTCCCATCCAATATTTAGAATATGAAAGCATTTGAAGAGCCATACTTTTCAGTGAACGTGTTTTATCTGATGTTCTTCCACACTTGCATAATACCAATGGTAAGGCTCATAATTATTTTTCACCTCTTCCCAAAACTCAACGTTCTCGTTAAAAAAAGGTCGAGCATTAATGCAACGAGTAGAATAATGATAATAATAAAAATAAAAAAACGGATTCTCCAAAATGGGTTGATGAAGGAAAATATAGCATAATGTATTTGTTATGTAAACTTGTTTTAAATGAATCGTTCAAATTGAGAATATGATAAAAGTTCTTTACTCCCAATCGGTCATAACCTTCAATAATCCTGATCTAAAGCTGACAATCCTAATGCGCGCTGCCGACCCAAGATAAAACCAATATCACGCCACCTGATTTAATTGTGTATGTTGCCCATAATGCGTTCCTCGGTGTTTTTCAGGACTGAACAATGCGTTTACATTGGAACTTTCTATAAGTATATTAAATATACTTACTGTCTACTCTTGTCGTAGTGTCGGTAAGGTAGATCGGGCAAGGCAGCCTATGTACGGAGTTAGCGAGAGTGTCTGGCCAACACAGAATACCATCCCAGGTACGGTTACAATGGACACCTGTGACAGAAGATGAAAAGGCAGACAAATAAATTATTGCTTAGAACATTTGTAATAATACGATTTTATAAACTTCTTTTTTGTTTAGAGTGAGCTTAGCGACTGGGTGCAAATAGACATTTTAATTAGAACATTTTGTAATAATACGATTGTATACACTTTTTTTTAGAATGAGCTTAGCGACTAGGCGCAAAGAGTCATTTTAATTGAGGGATTGAAACTGACATTTCTAATGGGTTAGAGACTATATGCAAAGTCCCTGAGCAAGAATTTTTTTTCCTTCACTTTCCAATTGTTTTTTTTTTTAATATCTGGGACACTGGCGATTTTTTAGTTCTTTTCGGTGGGGGCGGGGGGTGGGGGCGTGTCCATGCAGCCCAAACCCTGTTTATGCTGCTAACTCACTATTTAACAAAAACTATTTTAAATTTATCATTGAAAATTAGCCCTGTTATTGAATTTTAAATTAAATTTGAAAAAGTTTCCCTTTTGCAAAAAATCTCCAGTCTTAACCAGATAAAAAAAAATATGAGATATATAGAGAGCAGTGATGCTGTACGAGAATTTCAGTAGATTTTCTCCGTTTCCTCAATGCATCCCCGAATAAGAGTGTTAAACTTATTCGTGTCTTCCCGCAAGTAAACAGATGGGGGTTCAACCTGCGTCCTACTTCATCGCACAATTTTACATAATACATACAATGGAAACATACACTGAACATCAGTTCCTATTTTAGTCATAAGCCTGGGGATATTCACATTCATTTTTTATTCATAATATTTCTTCCCCCCAAGCCTCTCTCATGAAAACGCACCGACGCTGCCTCAAGGGGAGTATTTGGGTACTTTGACTCGCTAAGCGTAGCTTTTCGTATCAGGTTCGCCGTGTATCCTTGATATATCTCTGCCGGTGTATTTCGAAACCCAAGGACACATAATCGTCCCCCGGGGGTGCGTACCCCTATGCTGGGGGAATGAATTGGCCACAGGTTGTAGTTAGCTTTTATCGATGATAGTTACCGTCCATTTACTATTATACGATCCAATATTCAAGTAGGCAACAGCAGATAACAGTGGTACTCAGAGAGTCTACAATGCTGCCATGCTGAGGGTTTCACAATTATTCATGTATCACTATTACATGAATTTCCATATTTCAAGTAACCCTAACAGCTTTTGTGTATTCAGTTTGGATAAAGCATGAGAAAATGACACACCAACGACGTTCTGACGTTAAATGTACAACGACAAAGTGTGCACTCATACTTGTTTATATGATTTATTTCGGTTTAAGGTTTTCACCTATAACATTCATTAAAAACTTATTATTTATTCATCTATTTTCAACCTGTTTTGGTTAACCGAACTCACTTCAACACTCAAATTCTCATGAACACTTCACTCCGATCCTCCGCAGTCTCCACCGTTCACCAATACCCCAGCGTGTACAATTACAAATTATCCTCCTTGTCTTCAAAATCTGTGATAGTCACTGTCCGACATATCTTTCAGAACCTATCAAATCCGAGGCAACCTCTTCCCGGCTGCGGGCTTCTATTTCTTCACACCTACAACTTAAATTATGTCTGGTCCCGCGTTAAGATGCGTGACGGTGACAGAGCTCTCTGTCTTTGACGCCGCTTCCAAACTTTGGAATAGCCTCCCTCCCTACATCTAAGAATGCTCTATTTCAATACACCTTCTTCAACACGCCATATTAAAATTAAAATAAATATAATTGTTTAAATGCCTCTAAGCAATTCACATTTTTTCTTTCAATTTTATTTCGTTGTTCGTAATTACATCGGCATTAGTAGTGGTGGTTATCGTATTTGACTGCTAAGAAAGCATAAATGCTTGTTAATAAGCAACCAGAGGACCGACGGTGTTAGGTCCTCTCCAAGGGACCTGTAGTATGTAATACGGAAAATGTTGGTGATGTTGTCCTAGCTCTCTGTTGGGTAGAAGTAGGCTTAATATGTTTACATGCATAATGCCTACTAGGACAACAGCACCATGGCGCCTAGAGACAGAAAGTGGTCTTAGTTAGACTGCTCCAGAGGAACGGGTCTTGAGGAACGGTTTGCGAGCGTACACACTCCGAGCAGTTTTTAATGGCTCAAACCGCTCCACGAGTCAAAGTGGTCTTGTTGCTATGGCAGCTCAGGTCAGCAGATCAATTTTTTCGCGCGCGGAATACAAACCGTATGTACCGTACTACATGTTTCGCACCGAAGGTCACTAGCTCACTTCCGTTCAAAGTACGCTTTCCGTTCACATTGCACGTTAGAGCGCTCCAAACCGCTCTTAATAAGACCCGCTCCTCAAGACCACCTCGGAAGGTGGTCTTCTGGAGCGGTCCAGAAGTCCACTTACTGGACCACTTTGACCGCTCTCACTCACCTAAGAACCGCTCCTGAGGAACGGGTCTTAGTTAGAGCGCTCCAGAGCGCTCCAACGAATTAAGTGAGTGAGAACGGGGTCATAGTATCAGGCACGGTAAAAATCCATCTCATTATTGCTATCATTATTTTCAATACATTCTACGACGTAACACTCATGACATCAATGCAGTCATTTCAGAATTCTTTGAACAATTTTCGAAAACATCGGAACATTCATCAGTTCTATATCTTATCAGGAATACTTCAAGAATACCAAAATAGGCTAAACATTATTAGCAAATTGCATGATAATCGCATTAACCTTTCTTGAACAGGAAGTTTGCATTGAAATTGGAGCAATGCTCACATTTACATAAATTAGTGGGACTACGCGAGAACGCAAGGGTATCACAATCCTTTACTAAACGACACACACGTAATTGATCGGTTACGGCAATTAGCCTATATTATTCAAAATGCAATAACTTAAATGGTATGCAATTACATGGAACTCAATTACACAAACGTGCGATTCAGTCCAGGGCGTATGTGTCGTTTGAAGAATATTACCATTTTCACCCTGTAGGTATTAATATAAAGTGCACTCCGCCATTTTGCTAAATTTGTTGGATGGCTCAAAGGAATTACTTTGCATTAGCCTTTTGAATGTCAATGGCGCACTCTGTTCTATTAATAGATGTAACATACTTCCCCTTACCTGAGCCTACGGCCTGCATGGGGACACCCGCTTTTTACAGGGCTGCCGTCTATTAAATGCCTGATCGCCAACATTCCCTTTTCTATATTTTGCGAGCGAGCGAAACGTGCGAGCACTGTTAATGTGTCAATTTACTTCAGCGACTGGTGATGTTTTTTAATCAAACAAATATACTTTAAAAATTACAGAAGGCCACTACATTGTACGTGAATTAACGGGGTTGTATGCTTCCCCTTCTCCCGGCTGGTTTGTTAGGGGTATGTCCCCACCATCCTTCCTTGTTCACGAAAATGCAAAAGCATCTTACTATAGGATAAACCTTCTCCTTTCAATATTTTGTTTCGCTTTACTTCACATACAAGTGGTACCATATCTTTACCTTATCTGAACTTAACCGCTAAAAAAAATTTGGAAACTCAAGTCGGATTGATTTTAGCTCTCTTATATTAGCATTATCTTCGCTTTGATTACTGTCATTGAAGTGTTTTTAAAATTGTTTGTATTCCTATTTTAAATTATACAATATAGTTATGAGTCTGCAGTAAAAGATCGAGCGTTACTTCAAAGTATTAAGGGGCAAACGAATGGGGAATCGTTTTAAAAAGGAGAAAACCCACTTTCTAATGATTTTTTTAGAGGGTTTTTAACAAACTGTCTAAAAACAATTAAAGAGGAAATTAAAGTTTCAGAATTTCCCTTTAAACACAAAAGATGGAAGTTAGCTTTTTATGGAACTTTATTAAAAAGTAGATTTCAAAACCAATTTGAATTAGGAACGGGATTATCGCGAATCATATATTCTTTAGATTATGAAGAGCTTTTACTTGTTTGTGGCAAATTTAGTGACGGAATTCGTCGCTCTATATATTACGTTTGTTATACCATACGGCTCCTATGACAATGAGATTTCACACACAAATCGATGATCAGTACCAGAATGCCGGATGTATATAACTTTCACTACAGAAGGTATACAAAAGTTGTAACCTAGTTAGACTCCATCTCATCAGCTAGTGGCCTGCTTCTCCTTGCCCTTCCATGCCCCCTTTTTACGCATCCACTTCCGAATCTGAAGAACACCGATACTCCATTTTATCACCACCTTCGGGATTTGAACTCTCGGGAAGAACAGAGTGAGATCGATTGGTCGTCTCACCGATGTGTATCTCTATCAAACCCTAATTCTGGCCGGATCAACTGCACCGTTATCTTGCCTCTGTGTTTCTCATCGTCCGGGCCTTTGTCTTTCCTCCTCTTCGCCAGCCCTGACTTAACACGTGCACCAGTGATATAGGGTATTGAGCGTCAGGAACATTTCGCAGGAACGGTATGTGAACCCTCCTCGTGTGTCACTGATAAGTGGTAACAGAATATCGAGAGCATTAAACATTCTGTGGTCGAGATGTTTAAAAAAAAAAAACACACACATGCATGCAAACCGTACAAGTTGCTACTCGATAATGTGAGTATTTTAGGTTACAGCGTGAATATGAGATATCTGATGATACCTCAATTAGCCTACTTGAACCTAGATAATGAGGAACCGTCATGATCATTACACGTTTGTTTTGTCGTGAATCCGTTCAGGAGATCTAGTTCCAGTCCAATTATCTCCGCATGTATTTCATTCAATGAATAAAAGAAACGTAACACTTTTCTTTCACTGTATATGGATATTTTTTCTCTAAACAAACAGTTATGTTGCAAAGATGTTAAACAACCTAAACGGTGTGCAAGTGGTCATGTGGTTAAAGCTAAAGACCAGTTATGGTCATGCAATTGCATAGTGAAAGAAACGTTGTGAAATCGATCAGAAAAGGTTGATCATCTAGCATAGATGTACTGCACGGTTCTGGAATCATCAACATTATAAGAAATTTGGCCAAGTCTTCATAAAAG